GTTTCACTATTATAGGAATTTCGTCTCATTATTTTGGATTACATTTCTTTCCTCCAAATATAGTATTCGGAATGATTTTCTTTGCAATTTATAATCACTTGGGTCTTGCGGCACAGACTCTTCAAACTATATAAAACAGGCTATCAAAACTGTATGTAAAAAAATATTGGAATAAACTCAAACGCGTATTTGATTTTAACTCACTTTGTCCCAGTGGTGCGTTAATGCACCACTGGTTTTATCTGTGAAACAAAACTTTGTTATTGCAAGTCTAGACGGTCAGCGCATGTAGAATAAACATCCAACAATTAGCGTGTTCTTTAGTATTAGTTTGTGCCTTGTGCCGTGAACGTTACAGTTCGTAAAATATGGCATTTCCGAGGTATTTGACTCAAAAGGAATTAGAGGCGTGTATGGAGGAGATCGTGGTGGATGAGGACAATAACAATGAAAATCGTACGTATTATTTAGATTTACGTATTCTTATGTATGGTAGTATTCCATTCCTTGTAAATTTATGCTAAAAATAACTTGACAACATATTAACAAAACATATTGACGCGGTCTATATTCCACCCGACCTGGATACCTTGACTGACGAAGAAGATATGAACATAAATCTACCAGAGTTTGGGGAACCAACTGATATAGTTGGAATTTTCGAGTTACATACACCGAATGATACAGCTGTCCTTCAACAGTCCTGTAATTCATCAACTACTGAACCTGAATGGGACTCATCGGATAATGAAACCGTGCAATTCAAAAGAAGACGTATTACTTTCTGCAAACGATAAGCTTGCTTCTACTGTCAAATGGAAGAAAGGTCAGATTGAGTACACTCACACACCTATATCCGATGAATTAAGATCATGGGAGGAACTAAAAAATAGGCATTCTAGAAAAACTCCACTTGAAATATTTTTTAAGTAATGTTTCTAGTGTAGATCCTGTCCATAATGTAAAACGCTATAATAGAAAAGAACGGAAAGATGAGAATATGGAAATTGTATAATATTGTCAACGAACAATAGATTTTCCAGGTAGATTTTAAATCTTACATTGCTTTGCGACTTTTAAAAACTGATAAAACAGTTACTCAAAGAAATCTTGCATCTGCCATGAAGTGCGTTATAATAATCAAGGTCACCTCATGATTGTTCATGCTAATAAAGCCCGAAGGAGCTGTAGAATCTGCCACAGCCACACAATTTATGTTTGTAATAATTGTAACGTGCATTTACATACTTCATGCTTTGTAAAATTTCACCAAAAATGAAACCGGGTATTACCAGTAGTGCGCTCACGCACCATAAAATATTATGCATTTTTTTTTTGTATCAAATCAGGTTCTACCTTTAGTTGTTTTCTGTCGAATTTGAACTTTCTTTTGTATATTTATATATAAATTATACGTTACATCTTATGTGTCCCAAAATATTATTTAAAGTTTTTTCCCAGTGGTTCGTTTGCGCACCAGTATTTTTTTGTATGTTTCGACACATGTAATGTATTCTTAGGTGCAACAAAATAAATAATTTCAGAGCAAAAAAGTATTTTTTTATTTTTTTTTTTGCTTGGGATAATATGGGTTAATTGGTTTATTTCGATAAAGCATCCGTAAGGCAGATCAACATTTTAATACCCCGTAAAAATTATCAATTTTAGACTGTTAGCCTCTCCACCTGTTTAGAATATCTATCAGGAAATTTACAATTGATGATAAGAAAGCGTGAGCTACTTAAAAATCTATTTCTGTAGATTTTTTATTTAAATTTTATTTTGGCCAACTTATATTAAAAAAAGTCTTCAAAATTTTCAGAAACTTCTTGAAAATTGACGGATATTGGATGCAAAATAATCCGCGAATTTCTTTACTAATAAATTTGACTTAAAATACAGACTACACAGGGGTACTAATAATTTTATTCACACGGGAATGTGCCTTTGTAGATGAAGGACCACTTTTTAATTAGAAACAAGCACGTCAAGTTGAATGATATTTGTGTATGTTGCAATATTAATTTAAAAAATCTTTTTTGCCTATAAATTTAACTTTCTGACGTTAAGACATAAAGAGAACTTATTTATGTTGTATTTTTTAAACTAACTTCGTCATAGTTTAAGAGGTCTCTAATTATGTATTCATTTTGTTAAGAAAAAAATAGGTAAGGACCTTTCATATATAGGTTGCTTTTAATATGTTTTAATTACAACGAATTAAACGTCATGAATGCACTTTTAGAAACTTAATAGTGATTTATATTCTTTTTTCTAGTCCCTTCTATAAAATGCCTAATGCCGTTTGTTTCATTTCTGACGGATCCGAGCCACTTCGGATATTTGCGGGATACTTCGGCACGGATTTGAGAGCAATGTTTCCGGAGATATTAACGCGAGGCTTGAATTGTCATATTTGTCAATTCTAACCGCCATGTCAGTGAATGTATTCTTGTTGTTTTGCAAAAATGTACCCGAGAACGGAGGGTCGTATAAAAAGTATAGTATGCAACACGTTTGGTAAACTTTTTAAGTTACTCGTGTGTTAAACACTCTTTCCGCCGCGCTCTGCTCGTGCCAACGAAACTCGTGACTCAAATGTCCCACTTGACGCAATATATACTGGAAATGGAAATTAAATTTTTAAAACTAACAATAAATACTGAAATAAGAAAATAACAAAATATTAATAGTATTCATTATAAATAATGCATTACAGTTTCAATCTGTATTTGTTAAATGTTTTAAAAGGCGTTATAAACAACTGGTTATTCAAAAAATCGTTAAATTTTTATAAGGAAAATATCAGAGAAAGCATTTTTTTCCTAACTTTATACACTGTTTACTACGCTGAGAATATGATGACAAGATTAGAGCCCCAGAGATTTCTTGTACCAACTTTGTAGAAGGATATATGCAATATGCCCTTAAATTTTATTTGAATTTTTGGCTTCCTTTAGATGGGTTAAAGCTAGTCATGGCAGAAAATTAGGCTTAGAAAAAAAATCGTTTATGCAACCTAATAAAATAAAAAGCAACGTTGGTTAATTAATTACAACTGGAGGTGAAGTAAAGAAGTCAACATTTTAAAATGACACTTCGCAAATATGTCTGTCCTTGCATAATTCGGTATTTTAGAGTAGGCAGTAGAAAAAAGTAATTTTAGTTGACGAATACAGCATATGTTATCGTAGAGTCGTGCGAAATTGACTTAAGGCGCTGTAGTAACTAGCACACTATTTTCAGAAATGGTTTCGATTCTCAATAAATGTTGAAATTTGCTGGCGGCTCGCGACTGTTGCAATACATTAAAGATGAAAGTTGGACAGGATATCCAGTTACGTGTTCCCCTTTCTCCATCTGTTGCATTCCGAGATGTGTAAATAAATGGCTAATAACTTATTTTCCAATTTAGTAGAACAAGACGACATCAGTTTTTTTGTTAAGGCAATTAAGTGCACAATTTAGTTCGCGAAATAAATTGAACGATCAAGTGGAACACCTAAGGAGTTGCTTGTATTTGACTACCCTTCGATATTTCTGTGCTGATTTGGTGAGATTTAACGTGAAGAAAAAAACTTTTTTTTTTTGGTGAACAAAACAATGACATATACCGTCTTTATCAAGGAATAACTCTGGTGTGCAGGCTAGAGGAGGACGAAAACCTTGCTAATGAAATTATTATTGATATATGCACTCTCTAAGTCTAAAGAAGAAATGCAATTTAAAAATGAAAATTATATGCATCTGAATATCAAAATCAAAACTCAGAATGTAAACAGAATAAATTTATTGCACCATTAACGTTTAGCGAAACTCATAAAAAAATATAATAAAATCGTCGTGTCTTCAATTATCTTTAGAAGTTATTCCTTGAGTGAGGTGGTATTAATATTAAATTTAAATTATTTAAATTAATTTAAATTAATTTATTTCAATTTGAACATCAAGTTTTACCTATTTTTGTTGGTTATTGAAATATGAAACAATCAAATAAGAAATGTTAGGCCCTCCTAGATTTTTAACTGAAATTTACTTTACTTATATTCCGACTCATATTTAAGGATTTTAGTAGTATTAATGACGTCCCATCTGCAAATTTCGATTTCATATTGAATTCATACTGTAATTGTATCTTTTTGAAATGTTAGTATATATCTTTATATTTAGGATCAACATACTTCAGTACTATTAAACTTTTTTATGTTTGTATAATTGTACATTGTAATTAATTCGTATGGTAAAAATTTATATTTTTATTACCGCCGTTATGGCGTTTGCTAATATTTTTGGGCATTTTGGCACAATAAATAACAAAATCAAAATTGAAAATGTAAACAGAATAAATTCATTGCACCATTAAATCATAACGTTTAACGAAACTCATAAAAAATATAATAAAATCGTCGTGCCTTCAATTATCTTTACAAGTTATTTCTTGAGTGAGGTGATAGCTGTTATTGTTCAGGTCTTATTTTAATATGAAAATGGAATTTCATAAAAGGAAAATATTTCCATTATAGCAAAGCAATTTGTCTAAAAAAATGGAATCCCCCAAATTGTTTTGCCAGACAATGAAAATTCGTCGGCTTCTTTACATTCACACCCCGTAAAACGAGAATTAAACGACAAAATTCAACACCACTGACGTATAGACCAGGGATGGCGTTTTACACTGATTCCCAGAGTGAAGCTGGAAAATCCGTCCTCATTTAATTAGTTACGTAAATGTATCCATAATCTTATTACTATTATTTTCCTAGAAGAAAGAAAAAATTCTCTTTTAAAAAAATTATAAACAAGTTTTAAAGTATTCTGCTGTTACGTTACTTTGTCCAAACATATAGCCTAAATCAGTAAGACGCATATATATCCGAAAGTTACTAGAGCATTTTGTGTTTAATAGAATTAATGTTTCCTGTTTCAAGAAACAATGTATCAGTTTCTATAAAAAAAGTGAAAACCCTGAAAGTAGTTTCAATAGAAATAATTTGTTCTAGATAGCGCCAGTAGTTCGAAAAACAAAGAAGAACAAGAAATGACATTTCATACGTCTAGACCGGTTCAGCAACCCAAAGTTTTCAATATGTTAGCGGAAGATCTGATGGATTCTAGTTTCAGACCAACTGCACTACCTCATATCAGCTCTACGTTACAAACAGTGTAAGTAGTTCTAAAATTGCGGCGCTACAGTCAAGTGGTGAAGTAATTCGAATCGCTATAGTCTTAACTTCAAAATCCAAAAAACGGATTATTTTTCTATAGGAAATGCCTCAGATACAGATACATTACAATTCAATAATTATTCCTATTGTCATTCTATCAGAACCAACAAGTCTGCGACTAACAGTTCCAAACCTGTATCAATAGAAGAGCATCGAGGAAGAGCTCTAAACTTTACCATAGAAGAAAAAAACAATTACAACAATCTGGCGAATACATCCAACCATGACGAGCCTGATTTGAGTGACGTCACTATTCATGAAGAGGATGACGAAAGTGATGTAATCAATCCAAAAATTCTAACTTCGAAAGGTATTGATTTGCACAACGTCACATTTGGTAAGTAAGTAAAACTTTTGTAACATTCGTAAAATTATTGATAATTGATAATTCTGATAAAACCTATTGATGATATACTTAACAAAAAAGTCTTTAAATTATAGGTCACTAAACAATTGTAAATCCAACAAAAGCAATCAGTAACTAGCGTTCTGTTTATAGCATTTTGATCACAAGTTTTCTTGATTGACATAAACAATGTATTCAATTGCCCTCTATCATCATATATTATACATTATCATATATAATTTCATTTGCCCGTTTTCGTGTTACCGAATTACACATCCATATACTTTTATAAATCTCTGACGCATTAATATAATATTCTCTAGAACTGCTGAAAGTCATTCTTATCCGTAGTCCCTGTATTTTGATGATATGTTGGTGAATGTATTTACATTAATACGTTTTTAATGACTTTTTTAATTTAATTCTTACGCATTAAGAATTCATGACAGAGAAAATGGGATAACGATATTTCTTTGGATTTGGTTTCGATAAGGCTAGATAAACCCGTTTTATAAATAAGTTTTATCAAAAATTTGCATATGGTAATATTCTTTTCTTGATTTTCAATGATAAATATGAGTCACATAAGTTATAATTTAATAGTGGGTTATAAGTTATAATAATCTTTTAGTTACTTATCACTAATTAATTTATTAAATTAAATTATAATTTAATATTAACCTTAAATTATTTAAATTAATTTATTTAAATTTTAACTTCGAATTTTACCTATTTTTGTCAATGATTAATATGAGTAACAAAAGTTATGATTTCTTAGTGGCTTATAAGTTATAATAATCTTTTAGTTACTGATCAGTAATTCATTTATTAATTTAAATTAATTTATTTAAATTTGAACATCAAATTTTATCTCTTTTTGTTTGTTATTCAAATATGAAACAATCAAATAACAAATGTTAGGCCCACCTAGATTTTTAACTGAAATTTACTTTATTTATATTCCGACTTATATTTAAGGATTTTAGCACCATTAATGACGTCCCATCTGCAAATTTCGATTTCATATTGAATTCATACTGTAATTGTATCTTTTTGAAATGTTAGTATATATTGATTATATTTAGCATCAACATACTTCAGTACTATCAAACTTTTTTATGTTTTTAAAAATGCAGATTTTTATTCCCGGTTATGGCGTTTGCTAATATTTTTGGGCATTTTGGCACAATAAATTTGAAATACACTAGATTGCTTATCATAATTTTGGAAATTGTTTAACTGGGTTAAACGTAGTTCCAGGCATTTGCGAGAAGGGTGGATTGACATACGAAAACGGAGAAAGGCTGGAAAATGGATGCGACTCAGTTTGCGTTTGTGAAAACGGGACAATGGAATGCACGGACCGATGCAAAGGTCCATTTTTTCGAAAAGGAAAGACCATCGAAGATCCCTTGTGCACTGCTAAGGATTCCGATGACCATTGCTGTTCTGTGATGGTTTGCGCTGGGGATACAGGTACTTTATGCTGAATGCTGCAACTTAATTTAGCCGAATAGCTTTATCGATCATCGGAATATTTTTACTTCTCCACTTTCATATATTCAATTAGTTTCTCGTCTTAGGTAAATAACCTGACAATCTATGATAAAGTGTTTAATGGCCAATTCAAATTGCCGTAATGGAACAACAATAAGCTAATTTGCATTGAAAGACTTTTTCGTATTTGCGAAACATTTACCTAGCGTTCATTGTTTATGTTTCAGAAACGGAGCCCATAGAAATGTGCACATACAAAAATAACACCTACAACAGAGGAGATGTGTTTAACAAAGACTGTTTAGAAGTTTGCACTTGCCTGAGAGGCGGGAAAGCTCATTGTAAGCCCAGGTAGGTATGTGCAACTAATGTTTCACGTTATTGGTTTATCATTGACCCGAATCTGCTCCTTTTATTCGGTGGATTTAAATGCATTGCTTAATGAATAACATTACCAAATAAAAACCATTTTTCAATGACAAATAATTCTCTGTTTATTTTCTTTTAGTAGATAATTTATAAGCATTCAAAGTTTCTACACAGAGAAAAAGAATTAGTTCCTGAAAATAAAGGACATTTGTTCTAATTAAATAATTTAATTCGTATCAAGGGAATAAATATCGAATTAGGGGCTTTTTTTTTAATTAAATCTCAACTAAAACATATTTGTTGCAAGAAAATTCTATTTGCCAGCATAAGCCTTTTGCAATTACAAGAAATATGTTTGTATTATTACTATTCCATTTTATTTATTGGAAGAAAACGGGTATACTAGGTACAATTATTATTTATTTTCGTTGAAGTAATAAAAGTGAAATATTTATTTCAAGCAATTTAAATTTTAAGGAAGAAGCAACTTGCGAATAATGACATTCAATTGTAATAATAGTAATTATAATAAAAAAATAAATTTGCTATCATCAGGTCGGTTTCTTCGTGGAGCTTCTTGTCGGTATTTGACTCATTTGGATCGGTAACCAGTGAATTGCAAGGCAGCAATTTTACAATTTCGGCAAAATATGGACAACTTTTGTATTGCTCAAAAAATATTCTTTATAAAAGGTTGTGGTGCATGATGGTCTAAAACCTTCAATATCCAGAAATATTAATTTAGAAGAGCAAGAGCAATATAGGTTTAACCTTAGTGACTGTGGGATGGGTTGTAATGTTATGGCATATTTTCTTACTTTCTCTTTTTTTGCACTTATAGCGTTTTTTATATGAGCAGATGTCTAAAACAACCCATACTTTAAATTTATTTTCTTCAATATAAACAATGTACCTACCTTAAGTTGAAGAACAATAGGTTCCATTTAATAATTTTATCTTTCATTAATTTTATTGATCTATTCTATCACAATCAGCCTATAACATAGCGGCAATTTAAATGGTGATGTGCGCCCTGTAGCCTGTCAGCTCTTGTTCCCGTCGGAATGTCGAAAAAAACCGAGAATTAGAGATTTACTTGCAGCAAATAAATTTTAATTTGAGGAAATGTGCTAATATACCATTAATTTAGCATTCGCTTTATTCCAGGCAATAATTTTTGTATTCCATTTTGTATGATATTAAGATTTGTTTAATTGCTAGAATAAATTATATAATATATATTTTGTTAATGTCGGTTTGTAGAAAATTTCAGCAAACCTTTATTGGCTCAATAAGAAAATAATTTAGAGAATTGTGGATTATTGAATTAAATATTCTAGTTAAGACATTTGAAGTAAAAACGTAATCAATTTCGTCTCAATAAATGCTTATTTACTGTGAACATAATTTTATTCTTGTAATTAATTTTTTCATAACGTTTGTTATTAAAATGATTTAATTAATTTGTGTGCCAATTTTAAAGCTTAAAACCTGTCAATATTAGGTTTCCTTAACTAATTGCACTGATCATTTATTTTGTTGTGCGTGTATAATTTATTATTTAAAATTATATTTATTTTCCGAAATTAGCAAAACTTATAGATTCAACTCATTGTTGGGGTTTAGTGTTATAAATCAGTTACAGATTTGATTTTGAATAAATATGTGATATTAAATATGCGGATAGTTGTAGGCAGGATCAATTATTATCAAATTTCCCCTATTAATTCGTAATTATTTTAAAAATCAAAGAACTGTAATTATTCGACTGAATCTTGATACAGCTTTATATATATATATATATATATATATATATATATATATATATATATATATATATATATATATATATATATATATATATGATGACACTATATTCCGGGATATCATCCGTTCGCTCGTTGAACTCCGACTGGAATCCTGCATCCGACTGGAATCCTGCAAATCCTGCATCCGACTGGAATCCTGCAGACGTTTCGCCAAAATCTCACTTGGCATCTTCAATGCTTGCGCTCCGAAAACACTTCGAACAGGATTCCAGTCGGATGCAGGATTCCAGTCGGAGTTCAACGAGCGAACGGATGATATCCCGGAATATAGTGTCATCATATTTTTCCATCCGTGAATCAATACGTGAGAATATATATATATATATATATATATATATATATATATATATATATATATATATATATATATATATATATATATATATATATATATATATATATATAGCTATAAATATAACGAGTAAACAATTCTTTTTCTCATGAATGAATGCTAATTTAATTCAATAAAGCTAGAGCTACTACCACCCGTTATGTAACTGTGTCAATGTCAGTTTTGTAAGCTAAGGTATCTTGTTTGGTGCATTGTAAAAGTGAATCTTACATTTTAAATTATATCTGACCTATGAAGCAGTAAGTATTTTCTGATTCAAAAACCAAAATGGATATTAAAATATGCATGGCATGAGGGTTTCATCATTTCAGGATAAATCGGAAGTAACAGTCAATTGAAACTATTTCACATTTAGACATTATCCCCAAAAATTTTAATTCGTTCGTGATAGCGCAGTACAGTTTTAATGGACGATTTATAGTGAATATAATATCCAGCGTGAAATTCTTTAGTGAAGGTGCTATGAAACACAAAAATAACAAAACGGCAATAAAACAATTCAGTTTAAAGGAGAACAAAATAGTACATCTAACTTATGTCCTTATCCAAGTTTTTTTGGATTAATTTCACCAAAGCTAACCGAAATTTTTACGTTTAGTCCATTTTCAAAGATTATATTTTAAGATGTCCTCAAACGAAGAAAACTTCTGATCGATGTGTGGAAGTTCCTGATCCAAACGATTCTTGCTGCAAACAAGTTCTCTGCGATGTGACGCTTGATGACCAAGAACACGAAAAGGAGGATTTTAAAGTCAAGCATAAAGTGATATCCGCCACTCAAGTAAACTCGAGCGTCATTATCCTGCAGTTCGAACCAAATTTTGAAGACAATGATAGTCTTCCGATCATAGGTTAGTTAGTCATTTTTACTTTATTATTTTTATATTTTAATTCTTACTGAGTTATACATTTTGCTTTTTTTAATCTATAATGGCGATTAGTAATTTAGTATTTTATTTCGCAGAAGTCAGTAATGACAAAACTAACTGGATTTACTATCAGTTATTGCCACAAGGATTGCTTTTTGTTCGAGAAAAATCCAAATTTTTACGCGTCGAAGGCAACGACGATATTGTTAATATCGTTGATAAAGAGACGCCTGCAATCGTTTTCAAAGCCGAGAAAAACCACAAAAAACTCGACCAGGAGTCTTGCCTATATAAAGGAAAATCTTTCAAAACCGGCGAAGAATACAACGACGAATGCAATGCCCTTTGCGTTTGCCAAAAAGGAGAGATGAAATGTCTGAAATTAGAATGTCCCACTTACTTTGGCGTCGAAGTTTTAGGTATATCTGACAATCAATAAAGCCAGTATCCTATCTGTGCGCTCTTTTAGATCCTGGATGCATAGATTGGGAAACTATTCCTCCAAATTTTAAGCCTACACCCCCCCATTGCTGCCCCGATCAAGTCAGATGTAAAAACAACGGCTCGTGTTTGTATGATGGTGTGTTATATAAGAACTGGGAACAACTTCCCGCCAACATAACGGGATGCGAAAAGAGGTTTGTAAATATATCATATACCGAAATGCGAACGAATTAAAACTTATATCAACGCCTATCAGTTAAAATTTTTGGTTAGAGTTCTCCAAACGATATATCGTTTTTACGACGTAATCCGGTATTAAACTTTGGCAAATTTACATGAAGGTCTAACGGCACGCCTACCTCGCTTGGGTTTCTCTGAGTAACCCTCAATAAATAGATTCGTAATACCACAATGACGTTCTAGAACCGTAATTCAGTACTTCGTGCATACAAATCCTGAAAGCTGACATATTTGTGAAGAGTTTCGTCTGTGAGATTCCTCGATTATTATTAGTCCATGCAATGAAAAATCTATTTTTACTTTAAAATGTTTATTATAAATATAAATGAAGGAGTTAAGTTTGCTACCAAACAATGTTAGAATATTTATAAAAAAAGCTATTCCACATCAAGTAATCACTATCGTCACTGGACTCGCCCCCACATTAATAATTAATTCTGGCACTAGTCGTCTTTTGTAAACCTTTTCTTTTTCGATGACAGGTTCTATGCATTTTTTTCCAACTAGAAGCAGATCTTTTTTTCTACAGGTGCTGAAAAGAATGATCCCTTCCGCTTTATAATAGGCGGCTCTTAAACTCATTTCGAAATCAAGTCAAGTCTTTGCTTTTTGTCAGTATTTTAGGTGTTTTTAAGAAGTTTTGGTTAGTTTTCAGATAATGCCAAGACAACTTGTTTTCCGACTTGGAGATGCTTGACATGATATGTTTATACGTACAAGAGAATTATAATAAGAGAGATTTTGTGGGGCGACCAAAAACAATAGAAAATCGCAATTTGACAACTGAACGCCATTTTTAACAGGAATTTCAAATAAATATCTATTGTCTATTGCTGTAAAACTCTCAAAATAAATAAAATTAAAAGCGCTGCTACTGAAATTTTCAAACCTAAGACTCGGGACCAAATTTAAAAAAGTTTAGAAAAGGTGTAAAAAGGGATATCTGTATTAAAAATCTGTATCTACTAAGGCGCAAAAAAGTTAGGAAGTATCAAATGCACCAAAAGTCTTGTCAAAAAACTCCGATTTGCCAATTTTTTTACAAAAAACTCGCTTATTTCTGTCATTGTTTAAAAAAATCAAAAATGAATTGCAACTTTGATACCGTGTTATTATTAAATTTTGGACTAAGGTAAATTTGTTTAAATCGTAATGTTTTTACAGAAAGAATCTCCTATTTTACTTACTATTTATATATTTTTCCTACTCCCGTGTGTAAAATACCTAATTACCCACCGATCTAGCGTGCTGGAAGCGTCACTTTAACGTCAGTTTCGTTTCCCATGAATCCGAGCCACTTCGGACATTTCCGGGATTTTACCGCAGGGATTTGGATTTTTAATTTTGATGTTTGTCACGGTCATGTCAGTGAATGTATTCGTGTTGTTTTGCGAAAATGTACCCAAAAACTAACGGTCGTAGAAAAAGTATAGTATGCAACACGTTCGGTAAACTTTTTAACTCACTCATTTGCCAGACTTTTGCATAATATACTATACTTACATTTTAAAATTAAAACTTTATACCGCCCACGGTGGAAATAGTATATTATGCAGCAAGTGCGGTAAACGGCATTTGACTCACGAGTTGATTTGACACGAGCGGAGCACAGCGGAGCGCTTCCCGCACGCTAGATCGGTAGGTAATTAGGTATTTTACAGACGGGAGTAGAAAAAATATGTGTGGCATTGATCAAGTGTTCAGTGTGGTACTCCAAGGGGGTTCATTTGATTTTTAGACTTATTTGCTACGATTAAAGAACTTATAGTAAACTGTGCAATAATATTCAGATTGACTCAAAAGCTTAGTTTTTTGTTGTACAAAAATCAGAAACCATAATCAAAAGTGTATTATTACTTACACTTGGTTGACTACTACAGTGACTCTCCGCAATTACGTATTTAATTCGTGATTCTCTCGTAGGTGTTACTGCGAAATGGGTAAACTTGAATGCCAAAATATTTGCTCACCCGTGCCAGCGCTGCCCCCGCCTAACCTTCCATGCTCGCCTCGTGACGCTGCTTTGCAGCACGTACAGGAAGATGATTGCTGCAAATACTGGGTGTGCAATACTGATCACGGTAAGCATGTGAAAATTGCTTTTAACGATTACGTAGAATAGAATTTACTGCTTTGTTGAAAGGTGAAGGCTAGGCTGTCGTCTTTATATGCCGCTAGTGTGCTGTAAAATAGCTCTGATATTCAAAACTTTTTTCTTCAGTGATAATTCCATTTATTTCCAGTAAAATTACACATAATCTATAGGGGAAGCATTCGTAAATGAAAATCCATAATATTTTTGTGTAATATCGTCTTCATAATGGAACCTGAAATGAGCAAATGAAAACTTTTCCCGATAAAACTGTTCTTTGGATATTTTAAAGAAACGTCGGAAGTTCAATTACACTTAGAAAAAGTTACAAACCAGTATAACTGTTCTAAAACAAAAAATCTTTCTCTATTTTAAAACATTCCGAATTGCAAATATGTACCAGACTGCTATTTTAATTATAAGTAAACTTATTAAAGCCCAAAAATGCACAGTGTTTCATACTTCAAATGGAAATATTACGGATCAAGTAGAGATTATGGAATTTGTCCTATTTAATGTGATTTAGAAAATACAAGGAAAACTAACGTGTCTAATGTTTTGTGATTAGGTAGTAAAGAATAGATATGCTAATATTTCTATTGATACTTATAGAGACCGCCAGTTATTTGTGTTTTATCTTATTACTCCTTCTGTCAAATGTCGAACAAGTCTTAACATGAGAAGTAGAAATCTTTTTTATACGTAAAACGATTATTGATATGTATTTTCTCCATCTGGGGAATAATCAATTGTTTATGGAATATTGATTATATCTGTCACTCGCACATGGTGGTAAAAATTATAGACAATCATAAATTGTAAGCAATATTTTTATTAAAATCTTCCCTGTTATGTATATATATAGCATGAATAAGTAGACAACTGACTAAAAAATATTCTACCTGGGTCTGATTTATATTTTATAAATTGATTTCTGTAGATTAAAAAACAGCTAATCTTACCTGTGACTATAGACTTTGCGCTCTGGGACTGTACGAAATAACATTGTAGCTGCGGTTATGGAATCCACTCCTTTGCTGTATATATGCCACGTTTGATTTTTGAATTAAAAAATTTTCAAAAATGCAAAGCATTTTGTCAAATATTTTAAAAGCAATTTGAGTGGATTATTTCTTGCAGCTTCGACTTACAATAACACTACCAACGTCGACAAGAATGCACAAAACAAAAGTTCCACGCACGAAAACTCGTACTTGGGATCAATCATCGCCGGAAAGGAATCGTCTAAAATTTTAGGACCATTGACAGTATATATCAACGAAGATTCCACGCCCACCAGCAATAGTGTTGATCCTCTAGATCCACCCAAAAAACCACTGCTTTCACCATTTGAAAATCCTTTTTATAAAAATCCTCACTTTAACAAGAAGTCCCAAATTAAATCCCAAATTGTGTCGAAGCACCATAGCAACAAAGCTATTCAAAATAATAATGACGGTTATTTTGGTCCGTTTATTAAGCCTAAACCAAACGTGACTTTTAATAAACCTCATAATGATTCAGAAGACACTCCTATAATAGGGGCATTCCCGCGACTTCCTCCTCCAACAAAAATACCTACGCACAGTCAGGAAAATACTGACGACATCTTGCAGATAATCCAGCAACATCCGGCACTGAGTAGTTTACCTTCGGGGTCAATCTTCGAAATACACAAAGTCCCTTCGGAGCCTTCGAAATCTCATTCCACGTTCTCCAACAATAACAAAATTCATCCCTCTGCTCATTCAAGCTCGGATCATGTGAATCCGCCAGTGGTTCCCGTGTTATTACATCCATCTCAAACCCACGTCGTTGGACATGAAATTTCTTTGGAGCAAATTCTGGATGAATTGCATAGAAATGTCAATTCTCAAAATGTCGGTCCCCTAGTTCCATTTCCTCACGGTATCCAGTATCCTCCTCAAATTGCACACCCATCAATTTCCGGTGTAAGACCTGAACCGACCAGACAGAATACTACTCAAACAGGTAAAGACTGTTTAGCAGCGGATATCTTGTTATCAGAATACCGATTTGAAAGTGGTACAACACATTAACAATTTTGACCACCATCTATAAAATATAAATTAATTATTTATATATATATATATATATATATATATATATATATATATATATATATATATATATATATATATATATATATTTTTTTTATTGTACAGAATTCGTGTTACATATCTTTGCAAATATGATCGTTTATGTCGTTGCTTATCTAAATCTAAAAAGCACTAATGTGTAAAAACAAACCTTTGGGCTTACTTTTTTTACCACTCTGTTTCGGGCCATTTGGAAAAGGTAAGAGTAAGAGAAATTTGTTTAAGGTAATTGCAAAATTGATTGCAAGAAATAGACAAAGAGTACTTAGAAAGATTGGTAATGCACCACTAAGTCTTGGAAATTTTACTTTTCAAATTTTTCATCAAAAATTTAAATGCTAGGCATGGTAAGTAGTTTTATTTTCTGTAGAATTATACTTTCTCATAGCTATGCAGCATTTGAGATGCGCATAAAGTTTTGTTAGATCAAATTGGTATTCTTGTACAATCTCAGAGAAATCTAGTTTGTTTAAGTTAAGAATGAACAATATGCCAATCTTAGAACAAGAAGTTTTTATATTTGACAAAATGAAGTTGTGTAAATTAAAAAATTTCGAGAGGGAACGAAAAAGAATCTATGTTTTTTTGACTCTTTTCGAAAACTAATTTAAAAATTTAAATAAAGACGAGAGTTTTTTAATCAACATTCACTTTTAACGCAACTCAGAAATTTGTTTTCTCTTTATTTATTTGACCGTATTTGAAATATTATGTTTTATGTATTTTTTAGTACTCTAAAATAAAGAAAAAATACGAAAAATCATTAGCAACGCTATCACGAACGTAAGTAGTGCTAAAAATAACCATTCATTTTGATCCATATGTAAAAAGTGGAGTTGACCGTAGTCATTTTGATACCGTTGAATAGAGCGGACAAAGTATCTATGTAAATTTTCAATTTGTTTTGAAATAAAGTCAAGAAAAGAAACGATTTTTCGAAATTGAAGGTTTTTTTCGAATATTTCTGGATCCGCTTGTATTCTTTATATAAACATGTTTTATATGTACAACTTTTTTCTAATTTAAAGAAACCGCAGGTGAGATTCTTATTCTGTTCATTCTTACCTTGGAAAATAAATTTAATAAACACAGGAATATTTATTTGTATTTTATTAACTGCAGAATTTAATAATCACTACCCAGACGACTTTTCAAATGGCGGTTTTCAACAACCCAGCGATGAGATTGAAGTCCATACGCTTGAAGCGCTGGATGCTCATACTATCCGGCTCGCATTTATGGTGCCTCCTGTAATAGTTGGCCTCCATGGGAGGGTCGAAGTTCGTTACACGCATAGCCAGTAATATTTCCTTGCTCGAGTTTCAATAAGGAACAGCTCTAAATTTATTTATTTGCAGATCAGATGATTTTGATTCTTGGGATCTACAAGTGTTTGCTCCACCTAACGATCTGATCGCAACGCCGTCGTTAGAGTTTGATCTTCGCGATCTTGTTCCGGATAGGGAGTACAAAATTAAAATCACTATTACTTTAAGGGATCTGCATAACACTAAATCCTCAAGAGTGTACAAAATAAGAACACCGACAGAAGAAGAAACCACTACTTTACCGCCAGTCATACCCATCGAGCCAGATTTGGAAATTTCCGATATCAATTCCACGTGGGTTACAGTTGTATGGAGAAAGTTTACCGAATATGAATTACAGGTGAGCGCTCAGGCAAGGATCGAGAAAATTGACTGTAACGTTTTGTTTGCAGTTTATAGACGGTGTTCAGCTTCGATACAGGGAAGTGGATGGAAAAATTTACGCAGCCACTCCGCTTATTCACAGGGCTGTCACAACTTATACATTGGAAAAACTGAAACCCAACGTAAAATACGAAATTGGAATTTTCTTTATTCCATTCCCCAGTAAGAATCTCAACTTATCACTTTACTACGCAGACTCGTGAGTTTTTCTTTATTCTAGATCAAAGGACCGAACTAAATGCCGAGCATATGATTCATTTCACAACGGCCAACGAAGTCGATACTTACGGCTTTGGCGTGACGTTGGAGATATCCCAGATCAAATCGACCAGCGTAGAAATTTCCTGGAATGGAGTTCCATATCCAGAAGACAAATATGTAAATATATACAGGTACAGTTGTTTTTGGAAAAATCTTTTTTATTACATTTATGAATACAGAAAGTCAATCTAAAACAAAAAAGGAAAACTATTTAAACCTCAGGGTTTATGGCTAGGTACCCGAGAGTTAAATTATCATAAGATCAACTGATTTTGCATCGATTTATTCCTTAAAAAAAATTAATTTTATATCAAAAGTCATTTCTAGGGGTGTCAGAGAAAATTTCAGAGCAAATTTTTCTAAACTTGCGAAAACCTCATCTCGATATGTCAACTTTTTGAGCTACGGGGGCGTTTTGAAAAGTGTTTATTGCTTTTTTAATAAATTTTTAGTTCAGAATTCAGCTGTCCACTTTTAGTTTTTGAGATAAAGTACATGGTTTTTTTTTTAACGCCATATGTATTTTTATTTGGGTCATCAATCGCATCATAAGCCATGAAAAAATCCAGATTGCCATGACGATCTAGTTCTTCACTGATTCATGAAAATCTGGATCTTTTGATTACAGTTTGTCATGCATTTATAGAAATCATTGTAGTTGTGTAATTTTTTTATGTAGAATATCAAAATATTTAATTGGAAGCTATTAAGTAGTTAATAATATAAAACTTAATTTCCAAAACGTAATTAGGTACCCACTTGCACATAACCCTGTAAGTAATTTATTTATCACACATACACGTACTATTTCCGATGCCCATTTTTTAAGACTGAATAGTTCTAAAACAGTAATGATGGTCTTGTAAATATTTGGATCTTCTTATTGATTGATTTACGGTTTAAAAATCATGTTAAAAAATAGGGGGAAATCATATTATAAGCTGAAATTACAAAAATTAAACAAAATTAAGTAAAAATATAAAACTCAAGCTCTATTAAAGTCTAATACTCTCCCAAGTCGGTTATTGTGGAATAGTCTACTGACCAGCTATAATTAATAGGGATAAAGAGAACCTTCACAGGCTTCAAAACTCATATATGCGTTACTGCTATGGATTGCGCAAGGTTGACCGCGTATCAGATAGTCTGAAGAATTTTAGCGTGCTAAATTTGACTCAAAGATATAAATAACATGGCTATGAGCTGTTTTCGATATAAACTAGTAAAAAATGAAGCTTCTTCCTATTTAATTACTAACCTAACATGGTAGTTTGTATCGCGTCCCCCGTCATTAAATAGTTCTGTTTAAGAGGTCTTTTAGCTAGAATTACTAATTCCTCAGCAACATGAAGAATTTTGGTAATATTAGAGCATTTAAGTTGGAAATCAGAAAATTTTATTATTTGGATAAAACCTATACTGCATGTGCGTTTATTTCTGCTCATGTTTTTTTTGTGTGTAGACAATATATCATTATTTCACAATTTTCTTCTGTATTGTTTTTGACTGTTTTATCCAAATTATTTAATTATAAAAGTTATTTTAATATAAAAATACTAAAATAAAAAGGTCTTTATATTTTCTAGAGCTATTTACCAAAGCGACTCAGGTAAAGAAGATCACAGCACATTCAAAGTTGCCAAGAGAGATTCGCCAACTAAAACTATAATTACTGATTTAAAACCGGGCACCAGATACAGGTTATGGTTGGAAGTTTATCTGACGAACGGAAAAATCAAAACCAGCAATGTGCAGGATTTCATCAGTAAACCGAGAACAGGACCCAACTTGAGTTCCTCCTCCCAACACGGTAACTAATATGATCAACCGCTCATACATTAATTTTAACTTTAACTTTTTTTAGACAAGCTTTCAAGAGCTGAGCTTGTTGAAGACGCCCGAGGAGACTATTATGGCCCTCTCGTAATCGTTGCCATTTTAGCGGCCATCGCGATCTTGAGCACATTAATTTTACTGTTGATATTGGTCAGGCGGCACAATCAAAATAAAGCCGCAATTACACCTCCTACGGCCCGAATCAGTCAATCGGCTTACGACAATCCTACGTACAAAGTTGAAATTCAACAAGAAACAATGGGTAAGTGACTGACAATTCGTTTAGTATTGTTAATCTTGTTTATGGCACACAGTGAGAAGAAATTCAGTGAAATTAATGTTAAAAACAGTATAAAAGATTTCAATTTCAAGAACATGAATATCTAATTGGTTAAAATATGGTTCCCCTGAAAAGTGTAACGAAATGAATTAAATCACATAATCATAAAAAATCATTTGGCAGCAGAGCTCCAACGGAAATATACTTTTACTTTCAGGTTTATGAAAAAGAAGAATGAAGATAAATATTGTACATATTATGTTTTAAGGCGTAATGTAGAATTAAGAGAACGTCTGTACTTAATTGAAACCTGTATTGTAATTTGTAATATAGTAGTAATAGTGTAAAAATATATTTATTTAAAAAATGCCTATGAATTTATTGTTGTACCTATTTTATCAAAGATTAGATATTGGACCAACATTTTAAAGCAAAATACTACATTGCTATTGGATATCATTTTTTGTGAGTTTAACTAAACTCACTGACGCGAAGAATAAAAATGTATGTATTGTTATGCGATGTTTTATTGTAATAACAATTTAGAACACAAACATCAAATTTAAAAAAAAAACATCCGATTGGTCCCAAACCCGTGCGGTGATATACCGAAAATGTCCGAAGTGGCTCACAGCCTTGGGTAACGAAACTGGCGTCGTAAAATGACACTTTCTCTATGCTGGATAGGTGGGAAGGGAATAGAAAAAAGTATACTTTCTACTCCCGCCTGTAAAATGCTTAATTCCACAGCGATCAGCGTGCGGGAAGCGCCACTACCACTTCGAACATTCCCGGGATTTAACCGCACGCGTTTGGGCGCAATCGGATGTTCTCGGAGATATTTCCTACGCCTTGAATTGTGACGTTTGTCAATTCTGACGGTCATGTCAGTGAATCTATTCGTGTTGTTTTGCGAAAATGATACCCAAAAACTAATGGTCGTAGAAAGAGTGTATGCAACATGTTCGGTAAACTTTTTAAGTCACTCGTTTATTAAACACTCACTCCGCTCGTGTCAAATAAACTTGTGAGTCAAGTGCCGTTTAGCGCACTCGTTCCATAAAAATAGCGCAGCGGAGCGAGAGTTTAATAAACGAGTGACTTAAAAAGTTTACCGAACATGTTGCATACACTCTTTCTACGACCATTAGTTTTTGGGTATCATTTTCGCAAAACAACACGAATAGATTCACTGACATGACCGTCAGAATTGACAAACGTCAAAATTCAAGGCGTGGAAAACATCTCCGAAAACAACCGATTCCTCCCAAACCCGTGCGGTAAAATCCCGGAAATGTCCGAAGTGGTTCCCGCACGATAGATCGGCGTATAATTAGATATTTTACAGTAGAAAACAACTTTTACGTCAGATTTTCTAAACCAAAAAAAGCCCATGCCCGACTATGGACTTTTAATGGATATAAGAATATGAATTTAATTAATGACATTATATTATGAAACCTAGTTTTACTTTGAATTACCAACTAAGGGGTACATAATTTTTAAAAGCGCGTAAAAAATTAAAAGAGCAAAAAATACTGTTTATTATGTATTTGCAATATCTAAACGATCTATTAAAATTTAGGTTTTAAAAATGTTCGGTTAATCAAAAAGAACCTGTATCTACTTTTAATAATTAAATAAGATTGTTGATGGCTATTCCGATTTTTTTATTGATATTTACCACACCAGAAAGTTAATGATTGTTGATTATAAAATTCACTGAACCCGAGAAGTGGCGAGTATTGACAAAGTAAGTTATTTTGGGTGCTGACTGATTTTCCATAGCTCATTAACTCTGCTGAGAACTCAATTTACATATTTTTAAGGATTAGATTTTTATTACACGATAACATTTTTTAAAATCTAGACATAATTGCACTAATATTCATATATAATAAAATATGAAATCCGAAAACTATTAAAAACATAACTAAGAAATGAAAAAACGATTTTTTCCAGAGAAGCATTTAAGCAGACGTGTAACAAGACGAGAAATTATTAAATAATCGCCACCTTCTTAAGGCTCACTCTATGAAGGTCGATTTCGTTTCTTCTTCATTCTAGATTCAAAATTTTCCAACGATTCTAATATCCCAGCAGTACTTCGGAGATATTCCTCGGACATCTCCCGTTTGGTTCTCAGGAATATACTTGTTGGAGTTGTGGTTGTCGATGTTGCAAAATAGTACTGTTGCTTGTATTTTAATGTATAGATTAATTTCTAAAATAAAATATACGGTCAAATGCATCGGACAATTTTCTAAATTAATTTAATATTAATTGTTTACAACTTGCAATTATGCAATATTGAAATCTCTTAAAAAAATTTGTTATGGTTATGTAAATTTTAAAAAATACTTACCAGCACAAGTTTGACCAAAAAGACAGCGAATGTTAAAAATCCGATCGTCATAAGTGCGCCTTCATTCGATGGGAAATCCATTTCGGTGTGTTCGTGTTCAAAAGATTTTCCTTGGGCTCCAGTCCATAAATGAGAGATTCTGTTTTCTAGAATTCAAGAATAATTAAAACCAAACACGATCAACACTGGTCATAAATGACTTGCTTATATTAAGTAACATCGAATCTCGTAAATTTTTCAATACCGATATTTTCGATTTTACGGATTTCGCTTGATATTTCAACAATTGATTTTGAATTCCTTTTATTATGGCATATAAATCCGTGGTTGTTTCTTTGTTTTTATTTGGATTTGGTATAGTTTGTTTTTCGTTGTCTTCATCCATTTTTGTTGTACTTGAATTCTTGATTTCATCATCCTCACTTTCAACCATATAATCATCGTATTGCATTTCGGATTCTGCTCTACTGGTGTTTATCTTAATATTATTGTCTACGTTTGTACCAGAAGGTTCATCGTAGTAGTATTCATTATATTCGTCTGCCGATGTGGGCTGATCATTCGGTTTATGTGTCTGGTTGTTGTGTGAATTGCCATTTTCGGTTGAGGGCTTCAAAAATACTTCATACAAAGATGTTGTTGTGTAAACTTTGGGAAGGTCTGAAATATTGCGGTAAAATTAAACGTACATTTTTGTAACATTTGGTTAGTTTAGATTGTTTCAAGTTTGCCAATAAATTTTAAAAGCTCTGGCAGCATTTGAGTATAAGAATGTATAACTTACCGAAACGCTTATTTTTGTTGGACACTTTGGTGATCTCCACCCATTCACTTAATCCAAGTGCAAACAATCCAAACAATGTTGAAAACAACATTCTTAACTACATACAAAATGAATATATTCAGTGTCACATACGTTTTTTACTGCTATATCGCATTCGGAAGATTACGAATCCTGTTACATAGCTACACGCCTTGGAGCAGAAAATTAATTACGGAACAAAATTTGAACCACCGCATTATCACGGTTTTATTATTCTTCTGTTTGTCGAACTTGAACCGAACTGGAAACGCAACTTAAAACGACTTAGACTATTTAGGAAGACTTGGCAATTTTTGGAAAAATGATTTAGCAATCCAGTATCCGTAGTACAAGTATCGGTTTTCATGGAATTAAAATTCGATGGTAAGTATTAATGTTTCACTGCAGACTAGATTCATTTGCAGCAAGCCCTCATAGTACTAAGTAGCTAAAGTGAACTTTGGATAATCCACATCTGCACAGTTCACCAACTAGTGCAAAAGAAATAAGTAATAAATAAATCGTAACCACTGAAAACGTTTTTGCCACCATTCTAGCTTCAAAACAGATATTTTGTTTTAAATTATTTTTGACAACGTGTTTCTCAGACACACCCATAACAAAATCCACTCATATATAATAGACAATAGATATATAATATATAACTGATATCTATATGCGATACCAAAGATATAATTAATATTTTTCGAGCAAAATATCAGTTTTTAGACTAATTGCAGACAGTCTCTTGTTGTTTGCGTTGTTGGTATCTATGAATGTATCACGTTTACGCAGAAAAAGTATTAATATATAGGGTCAAGGTGGCAACAATGGATCAACTTTTGTTTGACACGCTGTAGCAAAAAAGTTATGAAAGTTATAACTTTTCATTTTATTTTCAACAAACTATGGCTCCACTATCTTAATTACACACGATTACTTTTTGACGTAATAGGTTGGTTGCATCATGACGACCATTTTTTTTTAAGTTTGCAAATGATCCATTGTGTACTAAGGTACAATGGCTCACCCCTAAGTAAACAATGGATCACTGGAGTACACAATGAATAATTATTTTTATAAGTATTAAAGAATGGACATACTAAAATGGATATAATTTTTTATTTATATTTATAAAAATAAAACAAATTCAGGTATATAAGTAATTGGTTGACAAACCCCTTATTCGCTATATTATAATTAGCAACTATATTTTGAGACTAGGTACTAATAAGTGAAGTACGAAACATAAATGACAGCTTCTTGATTCTCTAGGTCATAACCAGTAACTAAACTATCTGACCTAAGGACTAGAAAAAAAGAACACAACGAAACTTAAATTAAAATTGAAAATATTGTTGATTTCTTACATCTAGGCGCAATAACAATCGACATAAACATAATTTCTGATATTAGAGATCATAGTAATAAACAAACAAACAGAATTAAAAAATGACTTAATTAACGTTGAGGGCAGATAAATCTAATGGGAAACTATAGAAAGACTGCTGTCTTGAGGTACTGCCACTACAAATTGGCTTTGGTAATATCAATTTGACGTCATCTTCTTTCACGAAAGATATCTCAGGTATATTGGGAACTCGAAATTTATTTATTTATTTATGTGCCCTGTGCTTTTGACTTAAAATAATACCGTCTTAATGTTGTAAACGGAATTCCAGTTGTTCCAGACACTTGGCGGAGGCTATCACCCATTTCAATTCTTAATAAAGCTGCCTTCATACTAGCTGCGGTAGTGTTCCCTCTTGTTCGCGGCCTTTCTGGACGTGGCATTCTGGAAACAAACACTGCGTGAAAAAAAAAAACATCTAAAACTCAAAAATTAATTTACGACCAACTCTCATTCTATTGAGTACACAATGGATCATGATTCATTGTGTACGAAGACTGAGCCATTGTGTACTAGGACGCCATTAATATTTAAAAATTGTACCCAGCCGTAAATTAAACATACTAATCAAAAGTTTCTGCAGGAAAATAAGCCTAATTAAGTACATTTTAAGGCACTAAGTTATAGATATCAAAATACATGATAGAAAGGTTCAAGTCTTACCTTCTAATTCGTATTTTTGCAACCAAGAACCAAAAACAATGATCAGCACAAATCAGCCTGGCCAACGACGCACACCACATAGTTCGAACGAGTTCCGTTGCCGAATAGAAGTAACGAGTGAGAGAGAAAGCAGATGTCTCTGTCCCTTTCGCAGGAATAGCGTGTGATCCATTGTGCACGCCCTAACCATTGTTGCCACCTTGACCCTACCGAAATTTTTTTAATTTGACTGAAAAATTATATTAGCCATTATACTACACAAAAGTAAACTGAATCATCATGTCGATTAGACTCTGTTGAAAATTTAATTTACAAAAAATGAAAACCAAAATTTGACTTAGAAATGTATACATTTTTCTAAATAAAAATGCTCTTCTTAAATATAAATCACATGTTGTTATAATTGCTATTATAATTCTTAGTTGATAATAAATTTGTCTGATTTAACAGCATGTTATTTATTTACACGATTTTTTAGTTGGTGAAATGTAGTATTGAACTTCTGATATGCGTTGCTTTGTATTTTGCACTCCACTTCCTTGTTATGAGAGATACAAAAAGTTTTAGTGTTTCATCTATATTATGTTTTGGAATTATCAAAGTACACAAATGGCTCACTTTAATAACAAAAATTTAATTGGAATACTCATTATGTATTTAGTAGCCATTTGTTAGAACTTTTTATTTTCATTTAAAAAATATATATTACAATCATATTTGTAATAGGCGTTTTACTAAAAGTAAACGTAAAACAGAACCAAAAATATAAGACCGCTGTAAAAAATATAATTATAATTAATTTTCATGCTTTTGTCTGCTCTCCGCATTCTTATTATTAATTTATTATATAGTGTGTTTTCTAATTGAATGTCAATAATTCAGGGGGCGATTTTTTCATATAAAGTTAGATCCTACCACAGATATTTTAATGAAATTTGATACACAAGTAGGGGAGAGAGGGGTAGTTTAGGATTACGAACGCATCTTTTGTCTTTACTATAACTTTTTAAAACTGGAACATCGAACTACACGTCTGTCAGATGCCAATGTACTTCAATGTCAATGTAAAACCGAATTAAATTTGTAGGTTACTTTATGGAAACGGAACAAAACATTTTTATTTTTTATTGTAAACGGATTACTGAAAACGTAAGTATTATATTCGAGTTTTGACTATTTCATAGTGTTGTGTATGTTATAGCAAGTGTATTACCAATATAAATTAATTAAATAAAAGTTTATTGGTCGTCTACATAATTTTGTTTCTGAATGATGGTATGAATAAAATGTTCAAAAGTGTCCCCCGCTATGCGAACAAATGATGTTTATTTATTTTTTAAAATAATTTATAAATATAATTAGATAAGCACATTATATATTCTTTTACAGTTGTGAATCATAATGGTAAGAAATTACAAAAAGAAAAAAGAAAATTATGTTAACGAAGAAGATGCCGAGAGAGCTGTATTGTGTGTTGGCAATGATATCAATGATGAGGACCGCTGCTGCTATATATAATATAAAACCAACCAATTTGTACTATAGAAAAAATAAATATAAAGAGAATGTAATGCCAAAAAATATAAACTATAGCAGCAGACAGACTGCGAATCAAGTTTCCACTAATGATGAGGAACTTATGCTGGAAAGGTACTTTTTAAAAATGTCCAAAATGAATTATGGTCTTACCTACTTACAAGGTCGAAAATTGGCATATCAAAATGCAGCAGCGTTAGATAAGTGTCCTGAGAAATGGTTAGATAACAAGAGTGCGGGCATTGAATGGATGAAAAACTTTATGACATGAAAAGGCACCCAGTATTATCTTTGCCAAAACCTGAAAATACGAAAATAAATAGGAACACTGAAAATATAAGGGGAAAAGTAACAATTACTCCTGAAGCAATAAGACCGTTTCCTAAAGCAACTCCTCGTACCGGAAGAAAAGGCAGAATCTTGACTGATACTCCTAAAAAATACGCAGTAGAAGCTGCTTATTTAGATTGGATGAAACGCAAGTCTTCAATCCTGCCTATATCAAAACGAGGACAATGTATGCCTAGGAACAATACATATAAAAAGAAAAAACCGTTGCCAAAATATCAGTCAAACTCAGAATCTGACGGAAATATATCTTTTCATGATGATTGTGATATGGACATAACAGATGGTCAAAATAATTCTCAGTCTGATAATCTAGTTGATGAAAGGGAATCAATTCAATCCTTGACAAATGAGGATTTAAATAAAATGACTATATATTGGTATAGTGTCTCTCCGCCAAAAAAGAATCACGAATGTATTTCGTAGCTTTTATTGAATATAAAGATCAAAATGTTTCTGATTTCTAATTTAAAAAAGAAATTGGGTTTTAAATTCTTCCAAAGAAGATCAATCCTGCATACCTATCATTGATATTGTAAAGAAGCTTCCAAAGTCATGCTCTGGTCCAGGAACTTCTCGTACAGCTACTCTATTAACTTTCAAATTTGATTTTAGCAAATTTAAACTAGGTTGGGTACTATTACCAAAGTTTTAAAGTTCGTTTTTTTTTGAATATTTACTTTTATGTTGGCCAGTCAGGCGATTTGGATTGTTTATTTTGTATTTGATATTTCGAACTTAGATTAACTTTTAACTTGATTGCCAGGGGTACATTTGAACAAAAATGTGTTTTTGAAAAAAATTGTGTTTTTGAAAATTAATAATATTGTTACTTTAATAAGTAAAAACAAGTAAATTTAATTTATATTTTGTATGCACAAATAGCATATTTATTCATAAAAAAAATATGTACCTTGATATGTAGCACAAAGTGACAAATATAATATTTAATTTAAAAAGCAATCCAAGGTGCCCCCCTTTCATCTACTATGTATAAAGAGGCATTATTTAGCACCACAAAATACACCAGTGGTAGGCGTACGGAATTTCATCTGTCTATTTTTTGGCAGACGTATTTCTACAATCCCAATCATTTCTAAAAAAAATTTATTTCTTAATTTTTTCAATCCGATGGAAGATTTTCGCTATAAAAACTAAAAACCTCTTCTCTGCATGGTCATAACAATATCGTTAATATGAGAGCATGAAGTGCGACGGACTAAATAGTACACTATGCAACAAGTGTGGTAAACGGCATTTGAGGGAGTAGAAAAAACAAATAAGATATCAAATCTGCTCATAAATGAATGCAATTGTCATTATATTTTAAAGGAAATGAGTAGCGTCGCCCCTGTACTCGTTAAATCGAGAAATTTTTTGTACAATATAAAATATCTACCTTAAACAAAATATCTACTTTTTAATATCAGAAAAAAACTTATTAGCAGACTGTTCTTTTTACTTTTACAGGTTCAAATGAAATAACATAACATCATAACAACAAGATAAATAATAAATGACTCATATTTAAAAAAAAATACTTACTGTTGATAATTTTTAACAAAATTGTCTGTTAATAAATTAATAACAACCGTTTTGAAAGAAAAAAAACTAGAAAAGTTATTGAGTGTCCTCCACCTTGAAGGATACACGCTTCAGCTCTTTTCCTCATATTGCCGTGTACTCTTTGAAGTGCACCTCCAGTGTTTCTTACGATACGATCCTTCAGCTCTTCGACATTGTTAACTGGGATGCGATAAGATGCCGCAATAAGAAAAAATCCAAACTATTTAAATCTGGTTATTCAATATATGATTTGAATATTCTCTTATTGCAACAGTAAAGTGAGCAGACATGACCCACATTATGTTCCTAATCAAATATAGTAATTCTTTCACCATTATTGGTAAATCCTCTTCTAAAAACCGGCGATAAATTTAACCATGTGACCTTTCTGGCAGGACAAAGGTTCCAATTAAATAATTTCCAACAATTGCAGCCCAAACATTTACCGAAAACTGTTCTTGATGTTTAAATTCTTTAATTTCTGATTGCATTTTTGGAAAAGTTTATAATAATGCGCAAATTTTGTCCAAAAACCATTGACAAAAATTAACGCACAAGGGAAAATCTCTGGGAAGTAAGGCTTGCACTGGTTGAATATGATATGGGTATAATAGAAAATCGTGCAAAATTTTCCGAACCAACAAGTGCGAGATATTCAGAATATTTTGAATTTTTCTAGTACTAAGGATTTTGATCAATAGGATTTAAAACTGGTTTTTCAATTTCTGGAGTTCTTACAGTTCGATGGGCACCTTTTAAATGATTATTTGCCCTCAAAGTACCTTCAGTCAACCTTCCATGTACGTTTGAGAATGTTCGCCTATCTGGATTGATTCTATTAGAAAAGCCATATATAAAATGCATATCTGCCAACTCCTCATTAGTAAAGTCGACCATTCTATTTTAAAATAACACTGGAAGAATTGAATTTAAAAACTGATGATATTAAGGTTTCAAAAATACACCTGGGAGTTTTCGTACTTCGCATTCGTACTTTGTGATGTGCCAAAATCTCAGGGGCGTATGGTAAATGGCACCACAATACCCGGCTAGGATACCCGTAGATATTCAGGGTAGTTTAGCTGCTATCACCAAGCCCTAACAAAATGTTGAATTCTGGGCGCCACGTGAATTGTAAATCTACGGTCCGGCTTGGTTACCGCAGCTGAACCAGACTGAACAGCACAAGGTGAGCCCCCAAATCACGAAAAAGCTCTGCCTGCTCTGTACCTCGGCACCTTCGCAGTGGGCTCAACTTCTTAAATGGGGCAAGGAAATGAAAATCTAAATTTAAGTGAATGAATTTAATTAAGCTGGAAATAATATAACCTAATTCGGTAAAACTTGCTAAACCAATATACAATGTTAAAGCTCGACCAACTAAATTACGGGTGTATCAGGTGATTTACTGAAACTTAGTAAAGTGTGCACCAGGGGTATACAGAACGCCCGTGGAGAACAGGTTCTGCAACATGCAATAGCAGAGGTTATTTTCGAATAAATCGGGCTAGTGCCACTCATACGGGTGCGTCACAACAGGGGAGGGCCACTTATAGCATTAACAAAATCCCATATAACTAACGGTACCTCACAAGCTTCATAGTTTCATGTCCCGTTGCATTACCGTCCTCGGCGTCCACTGCTCGCCACGTCCTAGCCCAAGTGTTTCTAGGCGGATTACATATACAGTGCACGGGGCTCGGTCAATAAGTGGGTCACAGCTCCACAAATCCAACAAAAGCAAGTCCGGAGACAGTGCACGGGCAGACTCCGTACCAATCAGTGGGTCACAGCTCCACAAATCCAACAGAAGCAAGTCCGGAGACAGTGCACGGGCAGACTCCGTACCAATCAGTGGGTCACAGCTCCACAAATCCAACAGACCCAAACCCGGACAAGCAGAAAAACCAAGAAGATAAAAAAAACCCTAAAAACAAGCGTCTCTAGAAACACTACCTCCCTAACAGCGTAAAATTAGCAAACAGTGCCAGATTAGAGCAAGGTTAACCTACCTCGGCCACGAGGGCTTTCTTAATGGGGGACCAACGATGTCGGGTGCCCCTAGGAGTCTCTCGGGAAACTTGTGCACCCAAGCAACAAGTCGCAGTGGCCGCGGCGGAAGGCTCGATCCCCAAACTCGGAAAATTTCCAACCAATATTGCAATGACCTTCACCAGGCTTCTGCCGCCATCAAATCCATCGAGGAAAAAAGGAGTCCCAAAACCCCGTTCACCACCTTAAATATAAGTCCTCAGCCACAAAAAATTGGAGGGAATCGAGGCCTGAGAATAGGAACCGATCGAAAACTAGCAAAACAAAATAACCCTAGGCACAATACCAACCTAACACTTCCAAACCAATACTTCAGAAATCCGGAACAGGACTACTACGGACTTCGATAGAAAAATCTACTGCTTCGCTGTAAAGCAGCTTTGTATAACGTTGAAAAAAAATAAAACCCATTAGGAATCAAATCCGAATTTGTAATTTTCGGGAACTATGCAACCAGTATTTTACCAACCCACAGATGCCGCGCTAAGCGTCTAATCGGCGTTAGGACTCTCGCCCAAATAATACGACGGTCCTAATCTTTAATAAATTAATATCTTAAATACGCCAATAAAGGGTAATAATAAAACGGAACCGTGACAACTTCAATTTTTTGAAGTACTTAAGTAACAAATCATAATGATAATAATTCTCTGGATGCAGAACAGAGGTATTAATTTTTTTAAGCGAAATCCGCACAAAGGATTGAAAAAAATCAAGAAATTAAATTTCTTTGGAAATCATTGGACATTGTAAGAATAATTTTTATTGTAGAAGAAATCGGTGGCGTACCATCAATGTCTGCCAAAATAGACAGGTGAAATTCTGTACCGCACACCACTGGTGTATCAAAAAAAAATTGTCGTACACTAAATAATGCCTCTTGATACATAGTATATGTGTGCCAATCTGCATTAAAATATCTAAAGTGAAGACTTTACCACCCTGTATCTTAAAAATTAAGATGTTCATATGAAGTTTTATTTTTAAATTCAATTCATTCAACATTCAATTAGAAAATATTATAAATTAATGCAATTCACTATTTTCCACCATCACCTTAGATCTTTGCTGTTTTAAAGCGTATTTTAAGCAAAATGACCAGATATGTAGTATAATATTTATGAAAATAAAAAAAAAAGTTACATTAACTTAGCAGAAAATGTGTAAGGTGATTAATTGCATAACGACATATGTTGAAATTATCTTATGGTCGGGAAACTAGTTGTTTCCATGTTTTTTCATAAACTTGCAAGTAAGATGCAAGATAAAACCCACCTAATTAAAGAAAACAATAATAAAACCGTTTAGTCACTTTATTTTACGCCAAATGAGATTAATTTCTTATCAAAACGACTCGGAACATAGTTCAAGGCCAAGTTTTTATACGGATCATTCTAAATTACACGGGTGGATATAAATGGAGGTGGCTTGTATGTGTGTTCTGTATATCGTTCTATATTCTATTAACATACTCTGTGGTCACACAATTTAATTAAAAGCGAAATTGTCGCAGAGCAGAATCGCCATCTAAAAAATGTATATATATATTGTATATGTATATTGTTTCCGAATCTGGCGCAAATAAAACCCATAATAATAATATTTAATATATCGGTATCTTTTTCAAACTAGCATCATCTTATTAAATTAAATAATTAGATATTTTCAACACCTGTTGATAACATTTAATTACAAACCAAAACAATTTTATTGCATATTTAAACAAATTTGGGATAACTGACTCTTTTACCTTCTTGTTTTTAAGTAAGTGTTTTACTTTTTAAAAATATATCTTGAAGAAATAAGGCCGTTTTGAAATATAAATGGCTGCTATATATTATGCTTTTTTTTCAGTTTTTCATCTATCGTTCCTTCTCTTTCCTTTGTACCTATCTTATCATTAATAATTGAAACGGTATTTACTTTCGTTTTAAATAAAATGTGAAAAAATCATCGAATGTATCAATGTATGTCCTCAAACATCCACCTGAACTTTGGAATTTGGCATTTGTCATGCCGTTTTATAGCTAATTGATACAAATACTTCCAGATGATGAGATTTTTGATCAATTCAGAATCATTCATTTCGATCCTGTACATTATAGGATAAATGTATTTAGATAAATAATATACGGAACTTCTGTGAGTTCGAATGGAACCTAAGTTAAATCGACACATTAGTCACGAGTTTGTTTAAGCATGAACGGCTTTTGCTTTAAAGTAAATTTTTACAAAACCGCATGAAGATTTTCACTGAGTGACGTATGACGTGGCCGTCGGAATTGACATAATCAAAATTCCGTGGCTAAAATTTGCCGAAAACATTCGATAGCAAACATCTTAAAATGACACTTTCCGCATGTTTGAACCCTGGATAATAGGATATTTTAGAGTTGAGGAATAAAAAACATATTTTGAAATAATTTTAATTTTTTAAGACGTTAAACGGACTTCTGTGGGGACTTATGTATTTTTTTACATCTAATTCTTTTGGGTTTTAGATTGAGCAATTAAAAAAATATACACGCCATATTTTATCAAAGCACGCGAACCCAATTTTATAATTTAATGCTGCGCTTGGCTCAGTAACTAAGCAGTCGAAGTTGCATGGCACTGTTGCAATATACTGCTAATTGAAAAATAATCGGATAGACGGGTACTAGACAATTAATTTTACATCAATGTTGTGTTTGACAATAATTTTCAATATCGACTTCGCATTTTTATGCGCAAAAGATAACATTGCAAACGATAATATTTAAGTTGTACATATATAGAATTCTGATTAAAACCTTATCGACAATGGTACAAAACCAGTTGGAGTAACTGAATTTTGAGCACAGATGCATATATCGTCGCCAAAAAATGTTGATCTGGCTGTTTTTAATCGGGATTGCTTTGTACTGGATTTCGATACTGTACAAAAATAGGACCTTAAGAAATATTCCAGGACCAATTCCTATACCGTTTATTGGGAATGTGCTGTCGTCGGATGCATGTGGTAAGCAACATTATATATTTTTAGATTTAATATTTAAACTTTAATGGTTGAATGAAAATTGAACTAAAATTTAATTGATTTAATATTGTATGAAACTTTTTATGATTTTTCGACAGTCGCTATAACGGAACACATAATTATGTATTTCTTATACATTCACTCGGTTTTGATAGTTTGCAGAGTTAAAGTTAAGCAGTGCAAAAAAGTAACCAAAACAATTTTTTTGCATGTTTAAACAAATTTGCCTTACATGCTTTTAAGTAGCTGTTGTTTCTTGTTATGGATTGTTCCTGTCGACTTTTTTGTGGTAATGGCTTCGCTACGACGTCAACTAATACCTCTTTTTAAAAATCTGTCTTGAAGAAATAAGGCCTTAATAGTATCTTATGCTACAAGTTCTGCAGCTTGCGTTCCTTCTCTTTCCTAATAGACTTTTTGTAATATCACAAAACAGCGACAAACAGGGGTTTGCCCTTTGTACCTACCTTATCATCAATAATTGTAACGGTATTTACTTTCGTGTCGTTGCCCTTAAATAGTCGAAGTGCAGTAGCCAAAAATTTCGGATTGAACGTCGGGTATATTGTTATAATATGACCAAAAACATAGTGCATTTATGGCTTTGACGTTTTAAGTACCTTAACAGCAGATATTTGTGGAAACTTGAAATTTTTATTTGAAACGTAAATAGACCGTTTTAAATTTGATTAAGTATTCATGCTGCGGTAGTAGCAGTAGTTTAGTAGAAGCGTTTACTTTAACATCATGTGATATGTATAGTTCTTAAGAGTTGAATCTAAATTGCAATATGTTCGTATATATTATGGAGGAATTTGACTGTGATTCTTCCAGTAAGTACCTATTTATGTACCTGATTCTCTGGCTTTGATCCTGTGAGGTTATTTTACTAGATAGTTCACAATTATTAAATGTCAAATGCTAATGGAATCTCAAAGAATTTCGCAATGGAGGGTGGATTATTTAAACGCAACTGAAAATTTTCGTGAGCAAAATTGGCCAATAGCGTATTTAGTTGAAATGTGGTTCGACACTCATGACACAGTAAAAATAGGATGGTGTGTAACAGTAAAAAGTGTTTACTAGACGTGTCCACTTCATATGGAAAACGCATAATAATTCTTCATGCTGTGCATGGGTGGAAAATGCCAAAAACGTCAAAGATTCAAGTGTGGATTACTGGTTTGAAAATAAACTGTGGCCAAAACTATCGCCAAATACTGTTGGATGTGTTGGATAATGTCTCGTATCATTTAGCCCAAATTAGAAAAATTCTAAATACTTCTTCAAATAAAGTTGAAATTGAAGAATTTCTGTACGAAAATGATTTACATTTTGAAGAGAGCTACACGAAAAAACAACTTCGGGAATTATTAAAAATAAGATATTTTAATAAAGACTGCAAAATCGAGAAACGGACATGAAATTTTAATATTACCCTCGCATCATTGTATATTTAACCCGATTGAGATGATTTGGTCTGAGTTGAGGGATAAGAAGAAATAACACTGCACCAAAATTTAGTGATAGTACCATAAACGTAATTGGGCAAGAGGTAGCTAAAATATCAGTACAAAGCTTGTCTAACTGTGAAGAACGAGTAATAAAAGAAGAAAATATTATGTATATTAATAATGCCACTATGTACAAACGTAATGTAATAAAAAGTAATAATTTGTTCCATTTTAATATTTTTTTAACTACATGTTTCAAGAATTGCTAGGCAAAAAATATTTAAAACATACTTATATCCCGCTTGTTAGTGTAGTTAGATAAATTCCTAGGACGGTTCTGGAAAGGTTACGGGTAAGGACCTACTCCGCAGAGTGTTCTATAAGGGGCTGTGGTTTTGGAGTAATAAACACTAGGCAAAGTTAATCGACCTTTTTAAATTGACTTATACTTACTTTGAACTTATATTCAGTCAATTTTCACACATTATCTTGACCAATAGAACCATAATTGTAAGATCCTATATTTCTAATTCAGATATATCATTACCAATAAAAAAGGCATCTTTTACTTGTCAAACATATATAACATTTCCAATAATTTGAAATAAGTTAATGGAAAATGAAAACGTTAAAAAAAATCGTTCCTACACTTTCCTAATAGCTACCTTATCATTAATAATTGTAACAGTATTTACTTCCTTTTTAAATATAATGTGATAAAAATTATCAAATCTAGAAGTGTGTTGGAGTATGTCCTCAAGCCACCCAAACTTTGCCATTTGACAAATACTTAAAACAATAATTGAGCATTTATTTTCAAACAACATGTCGATTCATTGTTAATCGATACAAATATGACAAGATAATGTGATTTTACGATTTGTTGCAATTATATTTTTGTGTATTATGCCAGAATCATTGATTTGATACGATCCTGTCCATGTAGCTAATTAACATACCGAACTTCTGTGAGTTCGAATGGAACCTAAGTTAAAGATTCATAATCGGCACATTAGTCACGAGTTTGTTTAAGCACGAACGGCTTTTGCTTTAAAGTACATTTTTACAAAACCTGTGAGTTCGAATGGCAGCTAAGTAAAATATAAAGTCAAAGACAAATAGTAATACTACATTATATTCTTAATGTTACATAAGGATTATTTACATCTTTAAATTGTTGTCTAAACTTATGGCTCAAATTCAATTAAGAGTTTTTTAATTTCCCTTTTAAACGCATTATTATTATTTTATTATTCATTCGTCTAACAGTTGCTACATTGCCGTAATTTTTCTGGAAAATTGATTAATTTATATAAGAACTCAACATCAATCTCCGAAATTCGAACATAATTGGCAACGCCGCGCTAAGTAATTATTATTGTCGCAGAACAGTCTGTGCCTTGTGCCGTTGTTGTTTGCATTTTTGGTTTCAATATCTCCGTATCTACTCACAAACTTGTATAATTTGTGCTTTCAATAGGGTCTTAAAGAAAAAGTGATGCCTGTATATTTGACATTTTACAAACTCGAAAATATACTGACACAAATATTTACATGTGAATTTGCTAAATAGAATTGTCTACATTTTTAGATACACTTAAAGAGCTACGAAGGATGTTTGGGCAATAGGTACAAGAATTACAGGAAATATAATATAGCAATTAAGCTACAAGTTTAATTTTTACTAGAACAAGCATAAGAAATATCTAAATATATTAGGTGCTTCTTGAACATTTTTTCACTAATGCTTTAAGCAGATTTACAAAAAAAAATAGCTTACATAGAAATTGTATCGTATCTACAGGGCTTGAAGAACAAAAACGCTAAATTAATTACATAATTATACTGACGCCGACATGGGTGCTGCAATTCTGTACTGCTTTTCCGCAGATCTTAACTCCTTTTTGCCTGGAAATTTAATACAATTTCGACATTTTTTGGCAAGATACTGAGGTAAAAATGCCGCATCCAAACATCGACAATGTGTCAGCGGCCATGTTGCTTGTTGAAACTCGCAAGGTCTTATGGGTACTTATGGGTTGGAAACGAAATTTAAATCTCGGACATGCGCACGTTGAACGGACTTTCTCGAGCATTTTTTACATAGCTGCTTCATCAGTTACATCAGTCAGCATCGGCAGGGCCTCTCTATGTCTTGTAACTATATGGAATAAATGTTTATTTCTGTGAAGGAAGGCATTGAAATATGTATAGAACTGTCAAAGGTCCCATTATATTCCATTTTTATAATTACTCTGATTGCCCTTTTCTGACTTATAAAACAGTACTATCTTTTATTTAAAAGATTATTCGGTATTTCATTCTTGATTCGAAGTTGTTTTGTTTGCTTGTTTTTTCGTTCATCGTCCTAATACCATAGCAGAATGAATTTAATTTAATTATTAATTGAGTTGTATGAAAAGACCAGTCCAGATGTTCATTCAGAAAAGCCCAAAAATTTTGTATTTTCTGAAGTGCGTAGTTTTTTATTGTCTAGGCTGAGGATGCCTATTGTTTCTATATCAGACTCTTTGAATCAGAAGAGTACGGCATTTGTTTTGTCTGTGTTAAGAAAAATGTAATAAAATACGTGACATACTATATCAGGTAAAGATTTGGGCATACGTTATTGTTGGAAGTGGAAGTGTTGAGTCATCCAAAATTCCTGGTTTTCTTCTTCAGAATTTGCCGAAGAATTGTGTAAAATGCGTTCTAAATATGGCAAGACTTTCAAATTTTATATTGGGCTTGACATGAACGTGATGCTCTGCGAACCAGCTAGAATAGACCAAATATTGGGAATGTGCTGTCGTCGGATGCATGTGGTAAGCAACATTATATATTTTTAGATTTAATATTTAAACTTTAATGGTTGAATGAAAATTGAACTAAAATTTAATTGATTTAATATTGTATGAAACTTTTTATGATTTTTCGACAGTCGCTATAACGGAACACATAATTATGTATTTCTTATACATTCACTCGGTTTTGATAGTTTGCAGAGTTAAAGTTAAGCAGTGCAAAAAAGTAACCAAAACAATTTTTTTGCATGTTTAAACAAATTTGCCTTACATGCTTTTAAGTAGCTGTTGTTTCTTGTTATGGATTGTTCCTGTCGACTTTTTTGTGGTAATGGCTTCGCTACGACGTCAACTAATACCTCTTTTTAAAAATCTGTCTTGAAGAAATAAGGCCTTAATAGTATCTTATGCTACAAGTTCTGCAGCTTGCGTTCCTTCTCTTTCCTAATAGACTTTTTGTAATATCACAAAACAGCGACAAACAGGGGTTTGCCCTTTGTACCTACCTTATCATCAATAATTGTAACGGTATTTACTTTCGTGTCGTTGCCCTTAAATAGTCGAAGTGCAGTAGCCAAAAATTTCGGATTGAACGTCGGGTATATTGTTATAATATGACCAAAAACATAGTGCATTTATGGCTTTGACGTTTTAAGTACCTTAACAGCAGATATTTGTGGAAACTTGAAATTTTTATTTGAAACGTAAATAGACCGTTTTAAATTTGATTAAGTATTCATGCTGCGGTAGTAGCAGTAGTTTAGTAGAAGCGTTTACTTTAACATCATGTGATATGTATAGTTCTTAAGAGTTGAATCTAAATTGCAATATGTTCGTATATATTATGGAGGAATTTGACTGTGATTCTTCCAGTAAGTACCTATTTATGTACCTGATTCTCTGGCTTTGATCCTGTGAGGTTATTTTACTAGATAGTTCACAATTATTAAATGTCAAATGCTAATGGAATCTCAAAGAATTTCGCAATGGAGGGTGGATTATTTAAACGCAACTGAAAATTTTCGTGAGCAAAATTGGCCAATAGCGTATTTAGTTGAAATGTGGTTCGACACTCATGACACAGTAAAAATAGGATGGTGTGTAACAGTAAAAAGTGTTTACTAGACGTGTCCACTTCATATGGAAAACGCATAATAATTCTTCATGCTGTGCATGGGTGGAAAATGCCAAAAACGTCAAAGATTCAAGTGTGGATTACTGGTTTGAAAATAAACTGTTGCCAAAACTATCGCCAAATACTGTTGGATGTGTTGGATAATGTCTCGTATCATTTAGCCCAAATTAGAAAAATTCTAAATACTTCTTCAAATAAAGTTGAAATTGAAGAATTTCTGTACGAAAATGATTTACATTTTGAAGAGAGCTACACGAAAAAACAACTTCGGGAATTATTAAAAATAAGATATTTTAATAAAGACTGCAAAATCGAGAAACGGACATGAAATTTTAATATTACCCTCGCATCATTGTATATTTAACCCGATTGAGATGATTTGGTCTGAGTTGAGGGATAAGAAGAAATAACACTGCACCAAAATTTAGTGATAGTACCATAAACGTAATTGGGCAAGAGGTAGCTAAAATATCAGTACAAAGCTTGTCTAACTGTGAAGAACGAGTAATAAAAGAAGAAAATATTATGTATATTAATAATGCCACTATGTACAAACGTAATGTAATAAAAAGTAATAATTTGTTCCATTTTAATATTTTTTTAACTACATGTTTCAAGAATTGCTAGGCAAAAAATATTTAAAACATACTTATATCCCGCTTGTTAGTGTAGTTAGATAAATTCCTAGGACGGTTCTGGAAAGGTTACGGGTAAGGACCTACTCCGCAGAGTGTTCTATAAGGGGCTGTGGTTTTGGAGTAATAAACACTAGGCAAAGTTAATCGACCTTTTTAAATTGACTTATACTTACTTTGAACTTATATTCAGTCAATTTTCACACATTATCTTGACCAATAGAACCATAATTGTAAGATCCTATATTTCTAATTCAGATATATCATTACCAATAAAAAAGGCATCTTTTACTTGTCAAACATATATAACATTTCCAATAATTTGAAATAAGTTAATGGAAAATGAAAACGTTAAAAAAAATCGTTCCTACACTTTCCTAATAGCTACCTTATCATTAATAATTGTAACAGTATTTACTTCCTTTTTAAATATAATGTGATAAAAATTATCAAATCTAGAAGTGTGTTGGAGTATGTCCTCAAGCCACCCAAACTTTGCCATTTGACAAATACTTAAAACAATAATTGAGCATTTATTTTCAAACAACATGTCGATTCATTGTTAATCGATACAAATATGACAAGATAATGTGATTTTACGATTTGTCGCAATTATATTTTTGTGTATTATGCCAGAATCATTGATTTGATACGATCCTGTCCATGTAGCTAATTAACATACCGAACTTCTGTGAGTTCGAATGGAACCTAAGTTAAAGATTCATAATCGGCACATTAGTCACGAGTTTGTTTAAGCACGAACGGCTTTTGCTTTAAAGTACATTTTTACAAAACCTGTGAGTTCGAATGGCAGCTAAGTAAAATATAAAGTCAAAGACAAATAGTAATACTACATTATATTCTTAATGTTACATAAGGATTATTTACATCTTTAAATTGTTGTCTAAACTTATGGCTCAAATTCAATTAAGAGTTTTTTAATTTCCCTTTTAAACGCATTATTATTATTTTATTATTCATTCGTCTAACAGTTGCTACATTGCCGTAATTTTTCCGGAAAATTGATTAATTTATATAAGAACTCAACATCAATCTCCGAAATTCGAACATAATTGGCAACGCCGCGCTAAGTAATTATTATTGTCGCAGAACAGTCTGTGCCTTGTGCCGTTGTTGTTTGCATTTTTGGTTTCAATATCTCCGTATCTACTCACAAACTTGTATAATTTGTGCTTTCAATAGGGTCTTAAAGAAAAAGTGATGCCTGTATATTTGACATTTTACAAACTCGAAAATATACTGACACAAATATTTACATGTGAATTTGCTAAATAGAATTGTCTACATTTTTAGATACACTTAAAGAGCTACGAAGGATGTTTGGGCAATAGGTACAAGAATTACAGGAAATATAATATAGCAATTAAGCTACAAGTTTAATTTTTACTAGAACAAGCATAAGAAATATCTAAATATATTAGGTGCTTCTTGAACATTTTTTCACTAATGCTTTAAGCAGATTTACAAAAAAAAATAGCTTACATAGAAATTGTATCGTATCTACAGGGCTTGAAGAACAAAAACGCTAAATTAATTACATAATTATACTGACGCCGACATGGGTGCTGCAATTCTGTACTGCTTTTCCGCAGATCTTAACTCCTTTTTGCCTGGAAATTTAATACAATTTCGACATTTTTTGGCAAGATACTGAGGTAAAAATGCCGCATCCAAACATCGACAATGTGTCAGCGGCCATGTTGCTTGTTGAAACTCGCAAGGTCTTATGGGTACTTATGGGTTGGAAACGAAATTTAAATCTCGGACATGCGCACGTTGAACGGACTTTCTCGAGCATTTTTTACATAGCTGCTTCATCAGTTACATCAGTCAGCATCGGCAGGGCCTCTCTATGTCTTGTAACTATATGGAATAAATGTTTATTTCTGTGAAGGAAGGCATTGAAATATGTATAGAACTGTCAAAGGTCCCATTATATTCCATTTTTATAATTACTCTGATTGCCCTTTTCTGACTTATAAAACAGTACTATCTTTTATTTAAAAGATTATTCGGTATTTCATTCTTGATTCGAAGTTGTTTTGTTTGCTTGTTTTTTCGTTCATCGTCCTAATACCATAGCAGAATGAATTTAATTTAATTATTAATTGAGTTGTATGAAAAGACCAGTCCAGATGTTCATTCAGAAAAGCCCAAAAATTTTGTATTTTCTGAAGTGCGTAGTTTTTTATTGTCTAGGCTGAGGATGCCTATTGTTTCTATATCAGACTCTTTGAATCAGAAGAGTACGGCATTTGTTTTGTCTGTGTTAAGAAAAATGTAATAAAATACGTGACATACTATATCAGGTAAAGATTTGGGCATACGTTATTGTTGGAAGTGGAAGTGTTGAGTCATCCAAAATTCCTGGTTTTCTTCTTCAGAATTTGCCGAAGAATTGTGTAAAATGCGTTCTAAATATGGCAAGACTTTCAAATTTTATATTGGGCTTGACATGAACGTGATGCTCTGCGAACCAGCTAGAATAGACCAAATATTCAATTCAACAGTGATAATCAACAAATCCAAATACTACGACATGCTAAAGCCTTGGCTTGGAGATGGACTTCTAATTAGTGGAGGTGGGTATCTATTTACCAGATATTCATACCGATCCTGTTTCTATACCTATTGTTACGACCAAATATTGGTGGAAGCTGTAGTGGGAGATCGATACTAGCTTGCAGTTTCACAACTCATACGACTTGGACGTGCGTTATTACATTTGTTGCTGCTGAAGCGTCGTATAAGATATACTAATTTACCGCTGTAAATTAGTATATCTTTTCTACGCTCTACTTATTATGAACGAATCAAGAATGTGGAAAGTGTCACTTTAAGGCGCGAGATTCATTGCTCTTTAGTTATTTTATTATTTATTAACAACAATGGTATTTTAGCGTTTGTTTGTCTTTTCAAAAAGTAATGGTGGTGGAAAAAATTTATTATCCTTTATTATCCAACGCGTTGATAAACCCTTTGTCACTCGTTTATTAAGCACTCGCCCCTCTCGTGACAATTGAAATTCGGGACTAAAAGGACGGTAGTGAATAGAAGAGAATCTATTTATTCTTCAAAAAATATAACCTACATTTTTCCAAATATCCAGCCATTCCGGATCATTCAAAATAATTAGTTGGATAAAATCAGGAAAGTGTCCTATTTAGTGGCAATCTAATTTAATCCTTGCTTCTAGAATTAATAACCTCTGAATACTTTTAGTTGTTACATATTAATTTATTCATATTCACTGTAACCATAAAAACTGTTTGCAAATAAAGATCTAAACAACAATGAGATACCTACATTATCTTACATTTTCTGGACAAATAATATGAGGCGTGAGTTCCCTAAATAAAAAAGATTCTAAATTGAATAATAAAAAATATTTCAGTGTTCATAACGTTTGTTGTTCTAAGTGAAATCTCCTTTAGAATTAGAGTAAAGAAGCTTGGATATGTACACTTGATGTTCTCTCTCAGACAGTCTTTTCTTATATATGTAATAGTGTGTGATTTAATTAACTTTAGTAAAATTTTGCAGGTAAAAAATGGAAACAAAGACGAAAATTGATAACACCTTCTTTTCATTTCAAGATTCTAGAAAATTTCGTAAATGTTTTTAATTCTGCTGGAGGCGTATTAATAGACCAACTTTCGAAAGAAGTTGGAAAAGAGTCTGTCGACATTTACGAAATCTTAAATCTATATACATTGGACGTGATTTGCGGTAAGTTTTTTTTTTAATTTTTTGAATTTTGGCAAAGGCAATCGGTGTCCAAAAAAATAAATTTTATTTCACTTACATGCAATATTTAAAATATTTAAATATTGAATGTAAATATTAAAAATTTAAGATTTAATAACAAGAGTGTTGAAATATTTGTTTATTTATTACAATGTGATAGCATATTCGTCTAGTTAATATAACAGTTAGAAATCATATTGATATCTAGTAATAAGCTATCACAACAAAAAAGCAAAAAGTAATTTTTCTTTCTTTTCCTTGAATAGCTTTTAAAGTATTTCATACAATTTAATAAAAATGTAATGCAATGGAAAAAAAGTAATGCCACTGTTTTTTCTTCCCTCATTTCAACTAGATAATTGATTCATAGATCATTGGTTTTTTGATATGGTGTGAACCATTTTGATTGAAAATTTGCAATAAATTGGTTCATTATTATTTTTCCCAGGGCAATTTTTTATAACAGCCCGGATCAAAAAATCAAATCAAATAGATTTAATTTTGAGTTGTATTGCGGCCAACAAGCGATCGAAATATTTTATAAATTAGGAAATAGCTGTGTTATTTTCGTTTCTTTATTTATTTTATCTTTATTTATTTTATCTTTATTTCTATTTTTATTCTATTTATTTATTTCTTTTATCATAAACTATTGTTTAGAAACCGCCATGGGGGTCCAAATAAATGCTCAGACCGAAAAATTCACGCCGTATGCTACGGCAGTGCGAAAATTTTGTGAAATGGTAGTGTACAGGGTCTTTCATCCACTCGGATGGAACGATACAGTTTTTCGGATGTTTTCAAGCGAGTACAAAAGCTACAATGAATCTGTCACCCTTCTGCACGACGTCACCCGCAAAGTTATTAAAACTCGAAAAGCTTTGTACGCGAACCAGGCCTCGGATAATAATCGTGAAGATGATTTTGGTCGAAAAAAGACGTTCGCTTTATTGGACTTGTTACTGACAACCGCAGATGCGAAAGATCTAACCGATGAGGATATCGAGGAAGAAATAAACACTTTTATATTTGAGGTATGTAAGGGAGTGTATATGTATTATGAATAATTCCGCACTCGGTTCTAATATCAGTCAACAGTTAGTTACTAATTAAATCATTAATTTTTGTTTTGTCATTGTTGATTGAGCGAATGGACATTGGATCGCATTAGTTGAATTTTTCCAAGTTTAGTTAATCAATATTTTCTCAATGTAAATCGTAAAAACTCTATTTTCGACTATGATCTGTTCAAAATCAAGAGGGAAAACCAATTATTTGTTTCAGAAATAAGGGTTTTAGTTGATATCTGCATTTTGAAGGTAGATTTCGGTACAATAAGAGGCGAAAAAGCAGATACGCGAGTACCCAGTTCGAACTCTAGTTCCTTTCAGTATTTGAAACTGTTATTACACTACTGTCAATTCAAATAATAGCCAAACCATGTCTTTAGTAATTATTCCCTTTGGTCTTTTCGTTGCCAAAGTTATGGTCATGGCACATGGCGCAGCTCTTCAGTGATGCTAACTCCTTTCAGAAGGGTGATTTTTTTAAGTCGGCTACAAACCGTCGAGCATTTGTGACCAACAGACATTACCTACCATTGACATTTAAAAAATGTAAAAAACCGATTCTTATTCATGTGGGCGTTTGCTCGACTATGATCCAACTTTTGCCACTCATTGTCGCCATTCCCGTCGTCTAATTACATGCACACGGATTGTTTTGGACTGCACTTATGGGAAACAACAAGTGCACTTTGTTTCCTTCTGCAGCTGACAAAATGGATCCGATTTATACAGATACTTTTATTGCCGAAATTACGGATAATCACGCGATTTGGGACTATAAGAGTGAAAGTAGAAGTAACAGACTTGCAAAAAAAGTTGGAGTTAAGCTGATCCAAACTTAAGGCCGCCATTCACATTAAGATGCTCCCAAAATCTACGCTATTTTCTTCTTTATTGTCTTCGCAGGAGCAATATAAGTAATACTTCATCTGTGCAATCGATGCTGTACATTTTGTCATTGAGGTAACAACAAATAGTCGCTGAATCAAACCGTATTTTTGTAGTATAGTGAACTTCGGCTCCAAAAAGTCGCCCATCTTGTTTACATTTTTTAATTGATAGAACAATTTAAGTGCGCAGATCATCAAACTTATCTGCCTGTGACCTTCACAAGTAAGATTATATCATGCACGCAGATATCTCAGAACAATTTTTTTCGCGTAGTTCACTCAATTTTCTGACATATTATTTATTAATGGCAATAATGGTTCCTGCTGTTTCTTTTATTTTCACATGAAAGTTAAAGGAATCATGCAGTTAATGAAGTCTTTTCGCCTCGTTGTGCTGTTCCTCCGTCTATCTCGCATGATCCACTAATGCTATTGATCTACTGATCATACTGATCATATTGATGCTAACCGATATAGCATTCAACTGCAAAGTAATTCATCTCAGTGTCGTAATATATTCTTAATCTTCTTAATCTATGAACAAGATAAATCTTACTCTGTGTCTACTAGGCTATTAGTAGTCAAGACTTTGGGTGTTTCAAGGATCCAATCGCTTGTTGATTTTTATTATTTTAAACCAGTAAATTTTTAGCCCCTTTGATGACTTTAAACTTTCCAGGAACTTAGAGCCTTCGTTCTCTTGTTCTCTTGTTATGATAAAAACAAATACCATTTGGGTGGTCAGAATGTTCTGGGGAAAATTTTTATTGTTTTGTGAAGGACGATAAACATACACGATTATCGCTAGTTCAGTTGTCCTGCATCATTCGAAGTATATCCATAAATGTGGCTTGGTTCGCAGACAAAAATTTAGAGTTTATTAAAGCACTTCAATTAGACATTTAGTCTACAGGATTTAAATATCGTACACTGCTGGTGTACTCTGGAATACATGGAGACGGAAGCAATAATTTGCTGCCTTCTATCTACATCAGTTGATGAAAAATTAGTCATCGTTAGCTTCCGAGATGTTTACCAAAAATCTGCGAAAATGAATATGAATTTGAATGAGTTTGAACGAAGTACAAATCACGAACAAAGTTGTTTAAATGAATTATAAAAATGGTGCAGGAGTCGGGCAATGACAAAGTAATAGTATATTATGCAACAAGTGCGGTAAACGGCATTTGCGGAGCGAGTGTTTAATAAACGAGTGAGTTAAAAAGTTTACCGAACGTGTTGCATGCTATACTTTTTCTACGACCGTTAGTTTTTCGGTACATTTTCTCAAAACAACACGAATACATTCACTGACAAAACTGTCAGAATTGACAAACGTCAAAATTCAAAGCGTAGGAAATATCTCCGAAAACATCTGATTGCTCCCAAACCTGTGCGGTAAAATCCCGGAAACGAAACTGACATGGTAAAGCGACGCTTTACGCACGCTAGATCGGTGCGTAATTAGGTATTTTACAGACGCGAGTAGGAAAAGCAAATTATTTAGTTAAATCCAATCTTTATTTTATTTAGTCGAGTTCTGGCTGAAACTTGATGGAAATTTGAGAGAATTTTGCAAATTTTTCATAGAAAGGTCGTCGAACAACAACAATACCAATAATCAAACTTTCAATCAAGTGTTCTAATTTCATATTATTTTGTTGTCTAGTACTTTCAGTTTGGAAAATGCCCATTCTTTATGTATTACCCTGTATATACCTTATTTTTACTAGAATTTCAGCGGTTTCGTACTTTCTTGAATTGGAATAAAAAACAAATTTTTAAGATGAGTCAGATGTTAGTTGAAGTCTGACTTATACACCAATTGTAACCTTTTTTGTTTCATTTTGTACCCCTTGCTTGCTTTAAGGTGACAACTAGGGATATATTTGTTAGTTCTCAGTTATTTGTAATTAACATTAACATTAACATAAATCTGTCAGGAAATTTCATTCTTCTCGCTACAATTCCTACACAGCGAGCTGCCTAAGTTTTAAGTTTTTCAACAATATCAACAGAACAAAAAATGTCAAGAACAAAATTGATTTTTTTGTTTAGTGTTATGTTAGTGTTAGTGTTATGTGAGTAAAATACCTAATTGCCCACCGATCTAGCGTGCGGGAAGCGTCGCTTTACCACGTCGGTTTCCTTTCCCACGAATCTGAACCACTTCGGACAGTTCCGGGATTTTACCGAACAGATTTGGGAGCAATCGGATGTTTTCGAGGATATTTCCCACGCTTTGAATTTTGACGTTTGTCAATTCTCACAGTCGTGTCAGTGAATGTATTCGTGTTGTTTTGCGAAAATGTACCCAAAAACTAACGGTCGTAGAAAAAGTATAGTATACAACACGTTCGGTAAACTTTTTAACTCACGAGTTTATTAAACACTCGCTCCGCTCGTGTCAAATAAACTCGTGAGTCAAATGCCGCTTACCGCACTTGTTGCATAATATACTATTAAAATATTAGAACCAAAGATGACATAAAAACTACTGCATTTAGTTTTATAATAACTTGCTAGTGAGAGAATGACATTATGCTCACATATGCCTATAAAACATATTTTCTCTTATTATAGGGCCACGACACTACCTCGGCCGCATTGGCTTTTATTTTGTATGAATTGTCCAAAAATTCCAGTGTTCAGTCAAAGCTTTACGAAGAAATAATTGAACACTTTGGGCACACGATGACATCGAACCTTACTATTAAGGACATAAGTGACCTAAAATATCTCGATATGGTTTGCAAAGAAGGACTGCGAATGTATCCATCCGTTCCCTTCGTAATGAGAAAAGTTGAAGAGGAATTTGTTTTAGGTGAGAATAACATGCCACTTGCAAGCGTTCTGCCATGTATCAATTAAATTCAATTCCATAGGTTGCACAATGCAGAAATGTTCAATTGATTGATTGATATTTTAACATTAAAAAAAGAAATTTCCTGCTTTATTTTAAATGCCTTAATCGTTGCCTCACTCTGCTAAACTTTCACCTTATCGAGAAGATGTAATGGTGCGTTAGTACTGAAGGGAATAGTTTTTGATCTCATGCTGAGAAAAAAGAAAAACTAATAAATAACACATTCTTTAAGAACCTTCATTCACCTTGAATAGGTATGGAACATCAAACGAACTTCTGTCAGTGGTACTTTCAAAAATATTCACTAACTCCGTTCTTGGAGCATTTTTTTCTGGAAATGCTATTGAAAATTTGTATCAAAATGATGTGCGGGTGGACGAAAACCTCCATATTTCGACCGAAACTGATTTTCAAGAACAATTTTCGGTTAATGTCTGGGAATTATTAGTAATCATTTAATAGGGCATTTTTTTCTATCGCGATCAGTGGATAGATGGAGCGATTCCCTTATTCCAATGATTCGGATTTTTTTTTCGAGTCACGTTAAATGTCTATTGTATAAAACTGCTCTCTACAATTTTGATTATTTGAAGCAGTAAAAGTTACAAATTTATTTTGGGTGAAACTATACCACAGTTTTTGTAATAATATAGTTAATGTTCCCAGAAAAAAATAATAAATTTATTTAAGAATGGCATAAATTTATTTACTTTATATGTTATTTATATTAAATGTATTTATTTATTTTATGAATGGCATAAATTTATTTATTTTATATATTATTTATATTAAATTTATTTATTTATTTTATATTTCAGTCAGTGTTGCATCACTCTTAATTTAATTATTTTAATCAAGAACTGTTCATCTGATAAGAAAAATGCAAGAGATGATCTTTATAATGATCAGAATGTCTAATTAGATAATATTAAACAAGATTTTTCCCGAAACCTTTACCATCCTGCATTTCAAAAGTTTAAGATATTCATTCATACAAGTTTTGGTTAGTTAGTTAGTTTTGGTTAGTTTTAGTTAGTAAGTTAGTATTGACAATACATTAAGGAACACTAACTAACATAAAAATATTTATCCTATGTAAATTAGATTTAATCAACCAATTTCTTCTTTCCCGAATGCGACAAAAACGTATCAACAAATATCATTTATCTGTCTCTCCAGCCTTATCCTATTGCGTATCTTTATCGATAATATCCCTCACCGAATACATCGAAATAAAGAAATAATACATTTCTGGCGTCGAAGCTAGTGGGATTTTCATTAGTTTTGTTTTTTTTAGCAGTCGCCAAAGATTCAAAATTCTAATAAATCTTTGGCTATTCGGGATGTAGTTTGACAAAAGTCAATGCAAAACAACGATTTTAGTCTTACAATTTTAAGCTCACAATTCACCAGTCTAAAATTATTTTAAAAGAATTTGTTATCATTTAAGAAATCAACGAAAACTAGTACATTTAAATTATTAAAAAATATGTCTACGGCGAGACAATAATTTTTGTAGATGGAATCACTATACCACGAGACACGATTTTAACAGTGCTCATTTTTATGTTGCACTATGATCCTGATATTTATCCGAATCCCGAAGAATTCATACCGGAACGTTTTAGCGTCGAGAATCAAATGAAGAGAGGTCCCTACGACTATGTACCATTTAGTGCTGGTGCGAGGAATTGTGTGGGTACGTAGCTGAACAAATTTGAGTTATGCATGACCGCTCATTTTACAATTAATTTGTTTTTTGGTGGCTTAAAGTCTCGTCTCATCAAACTTATGCGTTAATATGAAGTTCCTTATCTGTGTGTTGCAGGGCAAAAATTTGCGATATACGAAATCAAAACAACAATTATTAAAATTATCCAAAAATTCGAGGTGTTGCCAGCTCCCGATTACAAGAAGGTTCTGGGTTTCATGGCCGTCCTCAAACCAAAGAATGGCGTGGAGGTTCGTCTAAAGCTAAGAGACAATGAACATGGAATTGGTTCTAACTAATGGAGGTATATGTACGAAAACAATACGCATACGGATGTTATAGACAAAGTGAAACCAATGAACCATCAGTGGAAGTGGTTTATTTGTTACTTAATAAATTGTTATGTAATAAATTAGTATTTGGTATCAAAATTTTTTACAGAATGTTAATACTATTTTCGTATTTTTGTAACACTCTTTAATTGTTTTTAGTTGAAATTTGAGCGTCATTGTAGGCATTTCGTCATTTTCCGCTGGAGACGAAAGTAACAAACAATATCCACAAATCTTTTTTATAAAGTAGTAGTGGACCAGCTCAATGATTCGGTTAGCAACTTATGTTATTTCGAGGCTTGTCGATTCTGATGGTCACGTTACACATCACATTGTGAATTTATTCGCACTCTTTTGCAAAAATCTACCTTAAACAAAGAGAAAAGGTATAGTACATAACACCGATGAACTTTCTTAGGAACTCGTTCGGCTCGTGACCAATGAAACTCAAAATTTGTTGTATATTTGCGTACTATCAACAGTTCCATAATACCTTCTTGCTAAACAGACCTTTTCCTTAAATTGGTAAAAGTTATACCAAAAGTAAAAAAAACGGGGGTAGGGTGCAAGTTGATCATTCGAAGTTGCCACTAGAAATATATTTCAAACATAGAAACATTAACATACATTTCAACAGTTTCTTTTACATGTTAACTTATTACAATCATTTCGTAAGATTAATAAAAAAATCCTTATTTGTTTGAAAATAAACTCTCGTTTGGCTCTAAATTGGGGTCATCTTTGAACATTTGATCAAGATGGAATTAAACTAGGTGTAGAATATAACTTTCGCGCAAAAAAAAATAAGTTTTCAGTTTTAGTCAGTGCCGCCGCATCTTATTACTATGCAGGGAAAAAAATATTATATACATTTTATCGTTCATATTCAAATCTAAAAGCGGCATATAATAATTTCAAATGGTTTGACATAACCATCCCGCGTATTAAAATAACGCTGGAAGAGACAAATACTGGTTCTGTAATAAAAGCACACAGATAAGCCATCATTAGTAAACATCGTAAAACATTTAAACAAGAATTTATTATTATCTCTAACATACTGACTTCAACACTGTCAAAAAATTATGTTCGATAACTTGTTCGTCAACATATTCGAATTTATTTCACACTTGTCACACATTGGAAAAATGCTTTTCCATTTTTGATTAAAGCCTCCATAGCATCATCTTTTAGGTGTTTATTGGAATATTCTGTAATTCTAACATTAACATAACAATTCGTCGCCAGAATTGATTATTATCACTGAATTACATCTTTTTTGTTAGAATATTTTTATTATATTTATATTATATATTATGACCTGACAGTAAACAAGGCAACATATTTAAGATCGGCACATACAGAGCAACATTTTCGGACTTCTCTTACCAATTTACCAACATGTTGGTAAGCTTACCTACATGTAAGTGAAATTGTGGCTGAGAGCCATATTGCCGAATACATTTACTTGTGAGTGGCCCCCTTCATTGTGACAAAAAGTGTTTAAGTTTGCACCTAGAATATTTAATTTCTTTTCTTGCTTCACTAAAATTATGAGTAACTTGTAGCCATTAATAAAGCAAATTGAAGCAAGACGAATTTTATTTGACTTTAATAGTTACTGACTGCTAATCTTTTGGTTGGTTCTTGACTAGTCCGATCTTTTATTATTATTAATTATGTATACGCTGTAAAAAATTTTATTATTTGTAATACTTAGATTAATAAATAAATAAATAAAATAAAATAAAACTGTGTACTTGACGAGTAGAGCATGGGACGTGACAAAACACAATACATTCCTCCAATATCTCTCAGGGGCTTAGTGGGTTAAATTTCATACAACAAACATTTTTAGAGTAGAATTTTTCACTTCACTTATTAAGTATTATTTTTCAACAAGTTACAAGTTACAATATTATTCTTGTTTATTTTTCCACACAGGAAATCATTTCTGTCGCATTAATTGTCTATTCGAGTTGTTAACCTATACGAAACGTAAAGGCGTTTTTTACTAGAACCTGTGTGCCCCCTCACGTCGACGCTCATGTCTTTAGACCGGGCCAAGCCAGTTGTAAGTAGGTTGAATGAACTGCCGGTGCGGTCGTTGCCATGTTGCTGTCTTGTCAGTAACAAACTCTTCATAATAACGTTAAGAGTCCTGACTTGACCAGCCTCGCCGCTTTTTTAGCTAAAAGACCATCACCGAAAACTTGACGGCGAAGAAGGCTACTTGACGGACAGGAAGTTGATGAGTACGCTGCAGGAAAGAGAGATCACGACAGGAAAAAAAAATGATCCTTTAAGCGTAGATGATCACTATCGGGGCAATTTATGTCGGTATAATTTGAGTAGAATCTTTATCGTGAAATTACAATATATGATGAAAATTCTAGTATAAGGCTTAATTTATTTTGTTTACTGCCTTTGCGTTTACTTTTAAGTAATACAAGTTGTTTAATCATTATGGCCAAACTTAATAAAGGTAAAACCCATTTATCAATTTTTTCAATAAACAATTCAATGGGCAAAAGCATCTTACCCGTTCTATGTTGTTCTATTTTTGCTCTATTTTATGTAATCTAAGATGCTACTATTCGTTTTCGTCAATGTTTCGAAATTTATTTCCATATTTTTCTTTAAAATTATCTTTTGTTAAAGAAAACCAAAATCCCCTTGAATAATAAGTATAAGTTGCAAATGTGTGGTACCTACAGAATGGTTATAAACTTGATTATTCTGTTTGAAAATAACATAAAAAATTACTTGATTTTCAAAATATTTATAATTTGTCTGAAAATATCATTAATAAAAATATCCGAAAACTCATATATATAATCTAAATTTAAAATTTTAATTTTGAAACATGACAAGGTATGTAAACTTGTTCTCAAAGGATATCTGAAATTATTCATGTATACTAAACTGGAAACCTTAAATTATTTTTTGTTGTATTTGGATGAACTTGATGGTGTAGTTAGAGTCAGTTTACAAACAAAGAAATACGAAATTGGCTGGAAAATTTTGATTACTCCAAAATGAAATTGGTTGAAAATTGTGGTTCAGTAAGTTTTCAAACACCTTTACAAATAAAATTTATAGAATTAGAAATTTTTTGTGAAGTGCTTGATTTAAAAGCGACAAATAAGACAACACTTACACAGCACTCATGAGCTGTTATGTACTTGCTACTTTCATAAAATGCTATATTTAATTTTATACGTCCCTCTAAGAGAGGGTTTGATAACTATTTCAAATATAATATTCTTATTATATAACAGAAATAATGGAAATAATGAATTAATTAAGTATATTGAGCAATATCATATATTTGCATTTGTTGCAAGAAATAAATATTAAATAATTTCTACATATAATAAATAATATCAGAGCAAGAACTCATTTATTCTTCTAGGTGGAAAGAGATAAATGCCTATGGGGCTTACGGGATATGGAAACTTGCAGCGCAATGCAAAATTTGTAAATCCAACAAAAGTAAGTTTATTATATGAACGAAATGTGAAGCTGTAACTAAAACACGTGTGCAGAAATGGAGATTAAAATTAAAAATCCAATTTGAGATTCGTCAAAATTTTAAATAGATTGATATTTATCAAAACTGTTCATGGAACATATCTACGAAAATATGCACAGCACAATCGGTAAGGTAAAAAAAGTAATCAAGCAGATATTCTACTTCGATTGAGCACAAGAAGTGAAGCAACTAAGTATAAGGTTGGAGATCGTGTACAAATAACTAGTTACAAGAGTACGTTCGCGAATAAATATAAAAATAGTGGTAATAAAAAATTTTGTTTCGTTTTATAATTACGAGTTACAACCAACAAAGTTTTGAAGAAAAAAATGTAATTATTATTATTATTATTGATTGATTGATTGATTGATTGATTGAATTGAGACCAGTATACCTGACGGCGAAAGAAAATATAGCGATAGTATGAAAAAGAAATATCGCAAAATATCAGCAGGAACCTTTGGTATACAATGTGCAATTACACTTTCAGTACTTAAAGTTATAATTGCATCTTTTGCAGTTCCAATTCTAATTCCATTCAGTGTAACAGCTATAGTCGAATAGTTACGAAAAAAACTAATAAGCATAATGCATTTGGGTTGTTAGCAAAAGTAAACTTGATGCAATAGAAAAAAAATTATAAGACAAATAGAGACGGAAAAATTTGCGATGAAATTGAAGAGGAAATAAAAAATTATGGAAAAATGAAGTCATTAATCTTAAACGAATATATTATAGGTAAAAAGCAGAAATTAGTAGAGATATTAAAATCTTATTAATTGAGAAGGGGAAGACAATCGTAAAATCAGAAGTATTGGAAAGTTTTATGAAAGAATTAACAAAATAGAGTCAAAGACGCTTCGCGTTTTTAAAAGGACGTAAATATATCTTAAAAAATAATAGTTAAAATACTTTTGCATATGAAAATGTACAGCCTGTTTCAATGGTAAATGGAGATAGTGTAAACAAGATTGCTTTCGAAAAATCGTAGCTGGGTGGGACAAGTTCCTAGCGCGTGGTGCGAAGCAGTTTTGTATTTTGAAAAAAGGCCGCTTCGTGGTTTCTTGTCCTAGAGGGATGCATTGTTTTTCTATTGTGCTCCAGCGGACCACTATGGAATTTTCGTAAAATCGATGTCATTTTATTGTGCATACACCCTGTATTAACCCGAATAAACCGTCTTCCACATCTAGCTGGACTTCAAAGTTACGTCAAACTTTGATAAATATAAAAAAAATTGAAAATATCAAATATCTCGAGCACCCTGTATGATCGACGAAAACTGGAAATCTCTCTTGACAAGGTTTACGATATTGTTCAAATCAAATTATCGCATCTTTAACAGTTTTCCATTTATCCCCAATAATTTACCCACAAAAACGGAAATTTTTTAGATGTTTTAATTTTTTTGGCCATAAACGACATACCCTGTATATATTTCAAATAATGTTAGCAGCAGTACGTGGCAGTAGTAAATGACGTCATCACGATAAAGGGTGATTTTCATCTGGATTTTCTCAAATATCTCGAACAGCGTATGTGATACGCGAAAATTGTAAATACAAAAATTGTAATACCGTTTCAATCAATTACCCATATATTTGACAAATTTTGATTTAAGGCAAATAATTTGCTCTGGAAAAAAACAATTTTCAGGGTGTGGTGTTGTCTATAATTGAAAAGCCCTGTCAATAACCGAAAAAATGCTTAAAATAAAAGTCATAGCAGCGGATATTCCGCGTCTTTTGGTTCAAGAATTTTGTCGATCGGGTTAATAGTTTTTCAGGAAATATATTATTTTCTGGACGCCAAAAACCACCAAAAAAATCAAATATTTTAAAAAATACCTTTACTTCGCTGCACCCTGTATATTTCTGAAAAATTATCAGGAATGGAAGTTTATGGAGCCACATCTTCTGCTTCTTCTGGTTCAAGAATTATTTCGGTCTCGTAAACAGTTTTCGAAAAATGATTTGCCGACCCTCGCACAAGCGAATTTTATTTTTTTTTAATACTTCCCGACTATCCCATTTTCAATAGGTTCCGTCCCCAACATGATGATTGGCGAAACGTTAGCTAGTTCGACTCAACAAAAACCGATGCAGGAGGAATCCAGAAGTTTTATTTATAAAGAGTATTACAGTAGCCTGTAGAAGTTTATTTGGAAAACTGTAATTGCTGTAACGTAGATTTCAGAAGTAACGATATGTTATGTAACTGTTGTTTCAAATGTAGTTTTTCGTCGCGATATACCAAAAATACTCGAAATTAGAATCTTTTTTTTATAGTGATTTTAATCTGTTATATAACTGCTACATTTACGTTACACTATTCTGTTGTTAAAGTTGTTAAAATTTAATTTTAATATTAATAAATAAATATTAAAATGGATTCAGAACAAAAATTAGAGATTTACGAATTGATGCAGTACGAAAAATGTTTTATAACAGAAATGGGACGTTAGTATAATACTAGAGCGTATGTGATACGAATTTATAATCAAATAATACCATCATATATATATATATATATATATATATATATATATATATATATATATATATATATATATATATATATATGTTATGAATAAACATGGACGAACAGATCCTGTAACTAAGTTGGAAGAGGAACTGCATACGTTACTACTCAAATGGAACAAATGCCTACTAGGTGGTCGGGACGAACTTGTACTGAAGCGCAAGCACAGGGTGGTTATAATAACGTGGAAGCTGGACGCTAAAAGCTAGCCATAACAAAGAGAGAACAAAAAGTGAATTGTTTAACGCTATAACAGAAAATTTAATTTAATGATAAATATGAAAACGGAAATTTAACCAAAAAACAAGTTGGGGAAATTATTAAAAATTTAAAAAAGCACACCACAAATGTATTTGTATATAACTAAACATCAAGCATGTCCAATAAAACTACAAACTAAAAAATTTTATGTTTTTTTTTCTTTTTAAGAATGCTAATAAAATATAACAATTCGACACTAACATATTTTTAACGAAAAATAACAGTCTAAACATAAGTAATATACACCTCATAAGATTAATCGCGCCATCTTACGGTTAAAATGCTAACTTCAGGGCATTACAGTTTCCTTTTCCTTCCTTCCCTTCTCGCCGCACATTCTAAAGATCCATATTTGACAATTCGCTGAACTCGTCTAACCTGAAAGAATTTATTTCACATCCAAAAGAGAAAAGTGCAAAGTACGTATACTTTTAACTCTGTTTTTATAATTTCAACGTGCAAACCTTTTTGTTTTCAGTCGAGAGTTACTTAATAGGTGGATGGTTTATCAACAGTCAAAACTCATAAAGGCAAATAGTTATCCTTTGTAAAAATTGAAGGAGAAAGGCGAATGATGGTACGTTTACATGTTCAAACCTAATGTAGCACGAAATCGTACAAGGGGCCAAGCTTCCTATTTATTAAGTTTAATGGCGTAATTGTATAAATGCAATTTCAAAAGGAAGCCACACAGAAAATTGTACATGAAAAATATAAAATCGTTGAAAGGTAATAAGCGAGAGTTTTACAGTTTATTGTGTGCTAATTATTTAATTTTGTTTCAGAGAGTAAAACGCCAACGTTAAGTGGCAGTGAATAATTATTGTTAATTAATTAATTAATTCATTAATAAAAAAAACATTTGTATTTATATTTATATATACATAATAATCCTTGCAGCATTATCAAGACTTTGCGTGGCCTATTTGCTGCTTGTTGCTGTTTCGGTGCCCTATAGGTTGCCGCTGGCATCCGTATAACAACAGATGCACCTCAACGATTTCTCCCTTCCTCCTTTCCTTTCTTTGATCACTGATTGTGCAAAGTAACTTTCACGGGGAAACAAAGGACAAATTCAAAATAGATTTCTGTAATTTTCTCCGGTTTCCAATGATTTCGGTGAGACGAAACGATTAGTAATTAAAAAATTTGAGTTGATAACAGTAATTGTTAAATATCTTAAAAAAATTACATTTATTCGAAAAATCATTCATAAGGTAGAGTGCCAAGTAATAGTGCCATTTGCAGACCTTTAATGTAATCTAACAGAATAGTTGGTATCTTTGTTAAAGAAGTTTTATACTAACAGTTTATTGATAATAATAAAAAGTTTGCCATCAAAACATATAGTGCAAACCAATGCAGACATTTGAATTAATAATTTTAATTATTAATGAATTAGTAACTGTAGATGAAATTATCGAGGTCATGTCAAGGAATTTTCTAGGCCTTCCTCCTTTTTCTATTGAAGGCAGTAACGGAGGCAAGTTCAATATTAAAGTTTGTTAAAACTTATAAATAAAGCCGTCAGTCAAGTCAATATGAAAGTTTGCCCCGTTACAGGTCCGTAAGTGTCATTTGTGGATAAACTCGCATTAGCGAAATTGTCAACAAAGTACTAACTTAAAAAAAGAAATTATTTTGGGAACAAAAACAGTTGTTTTCAAAGTTTTTTGCCACGGAAAAATCAACATATTCTTTTTTCGCAGGTGTGACACAAGTATAGTCAATACTCTACTCAGTATAAAACACTTGAGTAAATTTGGCATTGTATTGGTCAGAAACACAAATTTTGTATCACTGAGGTTTGCTATCACTTATGTTTTGTTTAGTTTTGAATCGCAGTATTATAAATTTCAATTGATTTTTTAATTATGAAGGATGAGGCTGGGATCTTGCACCAGGACCCTGGTTTCGCATCCATCGCCCTCCCATTTTAATATATTTAATAAATAATTTTAATTTAATAAAAACTACTTAGCGACAAACTTGGCAGCGACTGGGTTAAAAACCATTCTATGTGATGGCAAACACAGAATTTTTTTGCAGGTGCAAGTAAAGAAAATTCATAATTATGATCTGCTATACAGAATCAATATTTTCTGCGAATTGCAGAAGTTATTAAATGTAGACGACCTACTGCCGCGTTCGCCGAGAGCCGTTCCATCGTTTGACCTTCGAAAATATGCAGGTACCCTGTATATGCAACCGTCGAATGCACTCAAAAGTCTGAACACGCGGCAGGTACATGCCTTGCCGCCTTGGTTAAAGTTTGTTGAAATGTTTCAATTGGTTATTGAACGTACATTCGGAAAGCGTTAGTACTTTATTACCTACCCCTAGCAATCCAATTTAAGAATTCTTTACAAAATATACAGCGTCCTATTTTAATAAATAAAATCTTAGTTACGATTAACCTCCTTCAAGGGGCACCTCAACAAAATAGAAGTTCTGCGATTTTCATGTTCCACAGTGAAGACATTAAGCCTAACATTTTCACAAACCAAATTATTATAAGGCACTGATCAGGTGTGCCCAATGTCCGACTTTAAAATGTCAGTTCGTTAAACACTGATCGGAGCCACTTCGGATGTTTCCGGTATTTTACTCGTGGGTTTAGGAGCGTTCGGATGTGTTCGGTAGATTTTAAACGCTGATAGAGATGCAACACGGTGATAAGCTTCTTTAGCCACTCTTTAGAAACTCGCGACCAAAGCGGCGCTTATGAATCCTTTTTGTACAGTGTACAGCATACGAACAATTATAATTGGTAAATTAATAAGTATCAGGTGGGGCAGCGAAATTGTTGAGATATTCGCTACATGAAACTTTTTGGTACTTGGTAACCTAAACTTTTCATAAGAACTGTCACTTTAACCCTTATTTTTGCTTTTAATTCATAAACTAAGTTTTTGATCGACATTTATGTTGCATAAACGTGTTAGAGTTAATAATGGAAATGTGAAATTTATGCGACAGAGACTCGTCAATTATCAGTTAGCTGTAGACCTTAAAAGCCAATGAAATGAAAAGTTAATGACAAAGATATTGTCATTAATTACATTTCGTGCGACGTTCCAAGGAGACAAATTTCGACTTTGGTACCTGAACGAACCATTATATAAAATTGCTAATAATTAGATGTTATTACCGGTATGTTCAATTAAGAACTTGAAAGTTATTCACAGAAACTGTCGTCACTGCAGCAATTAATGGCTTTTAAAGATCGTACATCGAAAGAAGTAGCTAAGTAGTTAAAGCATGATGGAACTATTACTACTACATTTATTAATTCGAAACTGGAGTCGCTGTGTTTAATTGAAATAATATATTATAGTTATAAGCTTTTATTTTAAAAAAATTAAAAAGACATCAAAATCAAAAAGATTTTTGCCCACTTAAGCGAGGGAAAGATATCCTATCCTGTAAACAAACTCAACTAGGCAATATTTCTAAATTTTTTATTCAGTCTAAGAGATCGGTATACTTTGTGAGTGTCAGTATATATTTTGATATTTAAAATGGGGTTTTCTACCTAGCTTGCCACGAAATCTAAAATAAGAAAATCGTTATTTATTTGTCAATTTCGACAATAATTTAAAGGGTCGATATGGAAACCGCACTGCATTATGCTTATTTTTTTAATTTCAGTTTTCAAGAAATGTAGTTCGAATAAAACTAGTGTGGGTACACCAAGTTAATTTTATTTTATTTGAAAATAGTAATATATTATGCAGCAAGTTGGATAAAAATATTTATAAATGAGTTGCTTAATATACTTTTTCTACGATCATTAATTTTTGGGCATCAAAAATCAAAAAATTTACGAAAAGTACCAAAATATACCAAAAAGTACCAAAAATATCTTAAGTGACTCGTGGCTAACGGATGTGACGTCAAAGTGACATTGTCCGCTAGCTTGGTAAGTGCAGCATTGCTTATTTTAAGTTAAGGAAGGTGATATCAAAAATCATAGCTACAAAAATTTCGCAACACGAGAAGCATTGTGTTAATATGTTGATTTAAAATTTATATTACACTGAAAATGGTTGTTAGGAGAAGATTAAATATATCTGAATTGCAAAAGCTTTGCCTTATTTACCTTTTAAGGTTTCTAATATTCTTTATGCAACCTATCAAAAATAAACGAAGCAAAATTATCCATCAACCTAGGAAGTGGACGATTTTACATAAGCGTATATGCGTTCAATCTAAAAAAAATTGCCATTAAACGATTTCCTATAATTAGTGCGGTGAAAGTCGCTACACGTGTTATTTTGCGGATTAATTGGGCAACGTCGAAGTCGAATTTTTTAATATTTAATTACTACAGAGTTAATTTTTTCAGGTTGCAATGCAACTTTGGAAAAAACGCAGGGCTGATGATATTCCCAAAGAAAATATCTAGGTTTGATTTAAAAAAATAGCAGTTGCTCAAAATGTATAAAACGGGCCAAATTTGTATAGGATTTAAAACGGATAGTCTGTGGCCGATATACTCTGTACTCGATCTTGGGTATGTATTGTTTTCAAGTTCATTTTAAAAGTTGGAAGAAAATCTGTACCATCGTACGGATTTTCTTCTAACCTACTATTTTTAATTTCGGACGCCATATTAGATTTATTATATTTTAAGTAATGTATATTTTAAATAACTCTTATATAGTTTCGAAAATCCGAAATGTTAAACTCGATATTTCTATCTTATAGTTTGAACATTAGTATATTATGCAACAAGTGTGGTAAATGGCATTTGACTAACGAGTTTATTTGACACGACTGGAGCGCAGCGGAGCGAGTTTTTAATAAACAAGTGAGTTAAAAAGTTTACCGAACGTGCTGCATACTATACTTTTTCTACGACCGGGTACATTTTCGCAAAACAACACGAATACATTCACTGACACGACCATCAGAATTGACAAACGTCAAAATTCAAAGCGTGGGAAATATCTCCGAAAACATCCGATCGCTCCCAAATCCGTGCGGTAAAATCCCGGAAATGTCCGAAATGGCTCGGATTCGTGGGAAACGAAACTGACGTGGTAAAGTGACGCTTCCGGCACGCTAGATCGGTGGGTAATTAGGTATTTTACAGACGGGAGTAGAAAAACGAGATTTAAAGAGTTAAAAAGATTACCAAACGTGTTCTTGCATACTATACCTTTTCTACGACCCCTAGTTTTTTAATACTTTGCGGTAAAACCTCAGAAAACATCCGATTGATCCGAAGCTCGTGCGGTAATATCCGGGAAATGTTCGAAGTGGCTCAGATCCGACAACCAACTCACGTTGTAACACGCACGCTAGATCGGTGTGTAATTAGGTATTTTACAGAAGGAAGTAGAAAAATATTTTTTTCTATTCCCCTGCCAACGAAAATGAAACAGAATAGAAGCAAAGCAAGTAAAATATTTTCCAGACAAACATTTTTCAATTAAGATTAGAAGATTTAATATATTTGAAATTATGTTGAGAGTTTCAGGAATGGGGACTATCAGTTTTCCCTGCAAAAGAATTTTAATATAAATGCTAGATATTTTGCTAGAGAATAGGTTGGTTAGTTTCAATGTCGCTAATTAGAACTATAGACAGTACAAAAACCTATTAAGCAAGTATGTAAACTTTTTTTTGAGAAGATCCATTCAACGTGCGAATGCGTGGGATTTAAAATTTCGTTTTTAACCAATAGCATTTGCAAATTTTGAAGTAGGACCCATAAGACCTTGCTGTTTTCAACAAACGACAAGGCCGCTGACAGATAGTCGATGTTTGGCGCGGCATTTTTACGGCAGGATTTTCTCAAAATATGTCGAAATCCTATTAACTTTTCAGGCAAAAAGGAGTTAAGGTCTGGAAAAGCAGTGCAGAATTGCAGCACCTTCGTCGGCGTCTGTATAATTCTGCAATTAA